CTGCAGAAATAGACGCTGGGGTTGAGCAGCTTTGTGTTGCACATAGAGAGGCTTTTGGCTTTTTGCTTATTCATTACTTTGAATACTAAGATTCACCTGAATGGTTTTTGTTTACAGAGTTTTTCAAGCAAGTGTTGGAATAAGAGAGGGCTTAAAACTATGACAGTAACACTTAAGGCAAAGACTTTAAGGTTCACAGACCAGGAAGCAGAGCTGAAAACTACCTGGTTACATCAGCGTGACATATATTCTTAAAGTCTACATAGCATTTGTCATGTGGATTTTAATACCTCTCAGAGAACACTTGATGCACTTCAAATACATGCACAAACAGCATAATAACATTTTATCAGCTTATTTTTTGCTGAATTACGAGGACTTTGGGTTTAAGTTGAACAAGATCACTGCCTTCTGTAACTAATCAGGCTTAGAGTAGCTTTCATAAAAAAAATGCTGTTCTACACCAGAGTTCTACTGCCATGAGTTACAAAGCCAGAGCTCCTTCTCTGCAGTAGAGCTTTGAATGAAATATGAGTTACTAATTTTTGTTTGTGTTCTCTCTAGTGTCTGCAGTGAGGCTCTGAGTTATTTCCTGACTCTTACATCAGAAAGTCATCGGGAAGCCTGGACTAATCTTTTACTCTTATTTTTGACTAAAGTGCTGAAGATAAGTGATGAAAGGGTAAGTAACTGTTTGGAATGGTGTTTCAGATAACATTTACAGGTAAGACGTAGTTCTAGGCCAGTTCTTCACACACAGTTATAGACTTGACTTTAAAAGCTCCTGCTGCTCTGTAGACACTCCTTTGTTGAGGGAATGTACATTCAAACTGCATTTGACAGATACTGACAGTAATAATTCAGCGTGAAGGTGCAGTGAGTGATAAAATAAAACGTGTCTGAGAGAAGTTGAAAGATGTTGGAATCCTTTAGAACTGTGTGTTAAGTTGCTTTTACCCCTCTCCTGCTGAAGAATAGGATTAGTGATTCAAAGAATTAACCTCTGTTTCTGACTCCAGTGCTACATGTACCTCACCTTGACCTTCTCCAAAGCAATTCTGCAATAAATAAATCCATATTTAGATCTCTCTCTGTTTTTAACAAAACCTGGCTGAAATATTTAAGTGAAAGGGACCAACTACAGTAAAAAACTGGTAATAGAAAAATATTTCCTTTTGGAGAATAAGCATTAGTAAGGAGCTGTGTGTAGCTAGTGAGCATCTGTCAGAGTATGTCACAGCTGTCATAGCCTTATTGTAGCACTGCTAACTTCAGTTATAAAGACGTTTCTGTTAGTCACATTGTGGGTTTCTCACCGTGAATTGGAGAAGTATTTAAAATTCATATCTTGCAATGTGCCTTCCGAGGTGTATTGATGTATAATAGAGTAATTTCTTCTGTTTGTTTTCTCTGCAGTTCAAAGCCCATGCATCGTTCTACTATCCTCTGTTGTGTGAAATCATGCAGTTTGACCTTATTCCTGAGCTTCGAGCTGTTTTACGGAGGTTTTTCCTGCGGATTGGTGTGGTTTTCCAAATATCCCAACCACCAGAACAAGAGTCTGGAATAAGCAAGCAGTAGCAGATAGTGACACTGTTTAAAAGTTTATATTCCTCAGCTAAATACAAGGACCAGGTAGCTGAGCCATTCTGTCTGGATATCCATAAAAATGATTTCTTTGTGTGGCAACATGTATCCAAGGGTTAACGGTACAGACGCTTACAACTGTAATTAAGGCTTGCAACACTCCAGTCCCTTTATTTCCTGACGGATTATCTCTATCGGTTTCTCTTCCCTGGCTCGTGCTGAGCACAAAGCCAGTTTTTAGCACAGTCCCCTTGTCAGCATGGGCTGCAGTATCCTTTACTGTCCTAGACAGCAGTATAGCAACAGATGTTTATGGCGGGTGTGAAGGTAAAATGTACCCAAAGAAACATATATATGTAAAGGTTTGAGCTTCTGCGAGAAGTACAACTCAGGAGAGCTGTATTTTGAAGGATAAAATGTTTATAGTGAAAAGAAAATTGAGATTATTGTTCATGGTAAAAGATATTTAGCAACTATGTCTGATATTCTTATTCTAAGATTTTTGCACACTCAGGCTGTCTGAGACATTGGTAATCATCCTTCTGTGAAAATGTACAGAGATGCAGGTCTGTAATATAAACTCTTTAACACTATACAGTTCTTCCGGAATTGTTTTATTTCTGTAATATTGATTTGCTGAAAGCCCATAACTCTTACTCGTTTACCAAATGCACTAGAAGTTTGGGTTTATTTTTTTTGGGGTTGTGAGTTTTCTTCCTCTTTTTTTGTTGTTTTGTTTTGCTTTGTTTCATTGTAGCCCAGAAGTTAGTGTTGCCGACTTTTGTCAAGAACAGCGGTAGAAATATCACGACTGACATAACTACCTGTAATATACTTGTTTTAGGGCTTTTAAATATTAAAACGAGCCATTGAAATGATGATCCTTCAAGGACTGGAACTTGAATCACTGCAAACAAGTCTAGGTTGTGTCTGCTGTCAGATGTTTTTTGTTTGATGTAGATTTCACTCTTATGTACAGAATTTAATGTTGAATATATTCAAGTAACAAATCTGGCATGGTTTGGGGATGGTTAAATTTATTGGAAATGTATTCATACTGTGAATTGTGCTCTGATGGTTAACAGATGAGATTGTCAAGCATTCTGTATTACAATGGATGTAGAAATTTTTTTCAGATGGACAAAATGTATATGGTACAGATATGTAAAGTTTTCTATGTAAAAAAAAATTCTGTACAACTTTCTGTACAATATTTGGTTCTCATCTGGCATATTCTAATCAGGTTATAGGTCAATAAAGTTTTTGAACTCTTTCATCAGTGCAATCAAAACCGGTCTAATCCACAGCTACTTGTTTTAGTTTGCTTTGCCTCTCATGCTTCTGTTTCAAAAGGGCAAACCCCAGCCTCCTGGGGGCAGAAAGGTGGGTGACCTTTGGTTGACTGTGATGTGTCTTCTCACTTTCACAAATACAGTGGGAAAAAGAAGGGTAAATTAAAAAAAAAAAAAAACAAAGGGCAGGGAGGACGAGAATAGAAGTGTTTGTGCATGAACTGGTCAAATGAACCCTCTAGTGCTGCCCAGATAGAAACTCAAATACTGGGCATTGCTTTCTGGGGATTAAAATATAAACACCAAACTGACAAGGGAGAAAGGGTGGTTGGGAGGCAAAGGCTGGGAGTTCTGCTGACTGCTGACTTGGAACACATCAGCCAGCTCAGCTTTGTCAGCATCTCTGATTTGATGAGTAAAAGTGGAAGTGGATTGTTCTCCAGTGTGCTCCCACAGAACTTCTGAATAGCACAGGAGAGCAATCTGAAGCCTGAGGTGTGTGAGGGAGCCTCCCCTCTCTTGCAGAGGAATGAATCTCCAGTTGCCCTTCACTGCAGGTTCCAAAAACGTAAGCAGTTTGATGAAAAAGCTCTGGAAAAGCCGGAGGCAGGAATTAACTGCCATGACTTGTGATTCACCAAATTGCATTTACCAATGTCAGAAGGGGGAGATTTGAGGTTATTTTAATTGATTGTAATTGTACACTTTCTCTTGGGCTATATTTTACTTTGGCAGTTGTGCGTTGTTTAAATGTTAAACCGCTGTGCAGGTCCATTTATTTTGCAGGTAAGGCTGTCATGATAAAAAGTTTAAAAAATTTAAGAAGGCAGAAGGGCCTTTAACAGCTGAGCTTTGGAGATGCAGAGAAAGCTGAAGGACCCACAGTATCCTGAGTAGCAGCCTGGGTGCCCAAGGGAGGGATAGATGTGAGAAAGAGTGTAATTCATGGTGCTGAAGGCTGCTGAGCAGTTTCACTGGTTTCAGGCCACAGCAGCAGTGAAGGAAACACCTTCAAGAGGGGCTAGGCTGTGTCTTGGCTTGAACTGGAGGCAAGGAATGCTGGCCTGGCATTTACAAAACTTCCTGCAGTGACATGAGGGTGGTTTCATAGGGTAACATTGACTTTATGCTTCTGTGGAGGATAAAACTTCAATTAAAGCTAAGGGAATAAGGAATAATTAAACTACATAGGCACCTAGATGAGGAAGAAGACAAGTTCCATATGTAACCTGGAGTTAGTACAGTTAACGTATTGCAAAGTTCAAATTGTGAAGCACCTGAAAAGAGCCATCAGGCATCAAAAACAAGGGCAAGGCTGGCACGTGCCCAAGAGAAGTATAAAATGATGGGCTTCATCATGAGAGGTGCTGGGGTGGGGGGTAAGTAAATGTATTATAGAACATTTTCACCTCAGCTGCTTGAAATTCCTTTGTGCTTCCTGCCTCTGGGAAGTCGAGAATGCAGCAGCTGTGTGGCCTGTCCTGTGCTGCAGCCCAGGTGCTGGATTATAGTAAAGCCCCTGCATGACTGGCCATTTCTCTCACAACCACACTGCTGAACATCATGAGCCTTCTCACTGCTGGGCCAGAGATTCAGGGTAAGAATTAGCCAGATCTGATAAATCCTTCCTGGGAAAGCACATGCTACACGCATGAAGAAGCTAAACACAACACAAGGTTGAAGGACATCTCTCTCAGCAAGAACTGCCTGCTGTCATCATGGAACTGCTGTGGCCTTCAAGGAGGTTTACAAAAGCTTTAAAGTGGCATTTCAGTAAAAATGAAGATATTTTTACAAATTCATAAAACCACTTGTTTTCATCAGTGGTTCTCCTACCCCCACTCCCCCCACTGGTTAAGCTGTGGCATCTGGGTGGGAATTTCCTAACCAAGAGGAAAGTTGCAGCCTTATCCTTATTTCACCTTAAGATTTTAGGAGTTCAGTGAACTGAAACATTACTTCCAGCTCTACATGTCCTTTTAAAGCTTTGTGCTTTTAATCAACAAATTTTCCATGTGTTGCCTTAACATTCCAGTTTGTTCATAAGTAAATGTAAGCTGCATCAAATGATAAATTAAGAAAATTGAAGTCTGCTTTCACATTTTTTTGTAACAAAAATAATTTTAGTAACAAAATACTTTATTTTAACTCTTCATTCAATCAGAAACATAAATATTTGCAACAATTTCTGTCTTTTCAGCACATAAGTTAGGGAACATACGACACATTGCTAATAATAATTTTTTTTCATTGAAATGTTCTCTGCCCTTCCATGCACAAGGTATGAAAAGCAAGGGTCCTTCTCCAAGTTACTCACTCTTTTGGTAAAAACCTAATGCCCCTCTGCTCTTGGGTTACTCTAATTCCAGACAGTTTTGGAGTTTGACTATAAAGCTAAAAAATAACTTTGATTTCATACTAAATTCACACACGCCCCACACTGTATTTGTGGTAAGTCCAGCTCTGAGGCTGAAACCAAGTTGTATAAAAAGTGCAAAAGCTGACAAGCTATTCCCCCACTTCCCACGTCATGGAATAGAAAACATCCCTATGCTACATTCTCCATTACACTGCAGTGTCTGAATCTTTATTATTGCTATTTTAAATTACACAGACGCACAACTCCACACTATGTACATGGAAGAGAACTCTCCCTCCAGGAGACCCTGGAAAGTGCGGTAGTGCTGGATGGTCCCTCGTTGGCCGCAAGGCACAGCTGGTTCCCACAGGCCGGAGTCAGCCGTGCGCGGTGGAGAGGCCCTGCCAACCGAGGGGGAGCGTGTTCTCCGGCGGCAGCTTTGCTGGATGTGACTGTTCAGCCATCAGTCTCTGGAGCGTGTCGGAAGTTCCTGGTCGCAGCCAGGGCTCTGTCGCGACCGTGTCGACAGAACTGGGGCGTCTGCCCGTGTGGGACGGAGGGCGCTTCAAAAGATCATCCACATCTCCTAAGGAAATGTCATCACCTGGGAAAGGGGGAGAGCAACACACATGTGATAAAAGGGGACAGAAGCTTATCACATCTTACCACAACATTCAACAGGGTTGCTTGTCTGCAAAGAATGCATAAATATTGGTTGTAAATCACATTTGTTTCTACTGAACACACATTTGTTGATGTTCTGAGGAACTGTGCCTCAATAGCTCCACACCCCCACCACCAGGTCAACAAGGGGGTGATACAGGCAAAGGTGGATGGACTCAGTAGATGGTTCTGGCTTTCCCAAAAGCTCCTGTTATAAGGAAAAGTCAAATCTGTCAGTGCATATATGCCTAAAAAATGCATTTAAAAATAAGGCCATTAAATTATAGTGGCATGGCCCAACACTCTTGTATAGTCAGTCTCTTACTCAGGAGAGAACTCAGGAAGAATTATTTCATCACTGGTTAACAATGTAAATGCAAGTGTATCACAGTCCAGCACAGGTTATAACCTCAATGCAACGTCACTCTCAAACTGGATAAGTTGTGATCTTCCAGCCACAAAACAAACCCCACCAAAGAAAAAGCTGAACTGCCTTGCCTTTGAATTTGAGGTCTGAACTTCACTCATTTCAATTCTGTTAGCAATTGTACATACCTAATACCTTAAACAAATTGTTCTTAGTGTGGATTATCAAACAACATAAATTTTATTATATATAAATGTGCTGTTCATTTTTTGGCTTCACAACATTTTACATATATAAACCACAAAATTACACAATCCCCAAATACACACCTAAAACAACTGAAAACTGCAATATTTTCCCCTTTAAAGCTGAGTCACATAAATGAAGAAGTTCTGTTTTGTTGGTGTGTGTTAAGGTGGGCAGAAAAATATTTAAAGATTCTGGCTTAGGAAAAAACAAAAAAATCACAAAAGTTTTGCAGAAACATCCTAATCAAGCAAAATGTAAAAGAATTGTGTATGTAGTGATCAAATAATTCCATTTAGCAATTTGTGTCATTTAATTAAAGTAAGGTTTTTATTTTGGAAAAAAATTATGACTTTTTAAAATCTGATTTTAAACCAAAATTTCTCTGTATCTTCTCATTAAAACTTGAAAGTTGATGGTTTAAGCATAGGCATGAGAACTCAGGTCCTGCAGAAGGAGCAGTCAGGTGTGGATAGGTGAAGGGAAGGACAGAAACTGCACGACCCCACATACAATGGGAGCAAAGGCTGTTTTTCTCTTCATGCCCAAGGTGGGATTTCAGATTCCAAAACAAAATGCCAATTACTTCCTGTTCTAAATGTTCTAAATGAATTGGGCACCAAATTAGTTCTGTCACATCATACAGACACTGATCTGATCATCCTCCAAGCCTTCCTAGTCTGGTTAAAACAAAACTTGTCTGTAACATCAGAAGTGAGAGCAGACCTCTCTCAGTGCTTAAAGCTGGCAGAGCAAACCTCTTTGCCTCTTAAATCTTGGGTCAGATGAACTCTCCTGTGGATTGGAACCCATGGTTTTCACACACTTTAAGTTATGGTGGGGTTAAAAACAGTACATGGCAGAAAAAGTAATACCTAAAGAAAATTAAATTTTTCTTTGCTGCTTCAAGAGATGATACTCAGAAACAATAAATATAAGGTAACGTATTTGTTTAGAGAAGAGACAAACTGTGGACATCCAGGCCAAGAAAGCTGCATTTCCCCAAGCTAAACTATTGCTGCCTTTAAAGACAAAGCCTTTAGATCTTCCAGATGTCAGAGGCAGGAACAACTGTTTTAACAGAGATAAGATCATAGTGCACAACACTATATCAGAATCACCTGGTGCTGCTTTTAGAAAGCACCACAGATCAGCTACAGTGCAAAACTTCCTTCATCATGAATTTCAACACTTTGGATACTCCATAAAAAGCTGTTCTTAATTGGGACACATGAAAAGAATTTTCTTTGGAGCTGCATTTAGAATTTATCTAAGCCTGTAAATTGCCATCTCTGGTCATTTAAAGGGAAGATAACCAGTTACATTTCCTTAGTTGTATATTTGACACATTTGTTCTCTTACAGCAGTGTCTCTGAGAGCAGAGAAAAAATAACAGTCCTAGCTGCTGGGAAAGCAAAAGGATGCCACAAGGGTTCTATCAAACTGTTATGGAAAAGGAATAAAACCACTTGGCTTCACTCATTTTTTCTGTAATGTCCCTGAGCATGAGGAGGGAACAAGAAGGCAGGCAGCAGTGCAGCCTGAATGACCACAGCTGAGCAAGAGCATCTCTAGCTACCTTTTCAAGAGGCACATATGGTAAGGATGAGTGATGGTCCCCATGTGTTCCAAAGAACAAGTTACATACATACAAATATACACACACACACATACACATATAAAAATTATATACTAGAGGCTGAAGCTCTGGAGACCATGAAAAACAGAAGGCAAGCAAAATTAAAAGTGTGGTTCATATGGTATGAAGTGAAATTATAAGAGAGGTGAGATAAGAGCAAGAGCAGAGAAGTAAAAGAAGTTCACATAGCAAAAATATCTGAGTGGAGTAAAATTAGTAAAGCATTTATTTAGGTTATGGAAAAAAATTAATATGAATAGGGTTTTTTTAGTGACTTAAAAATCACAGTGAGATGTTTAAAGCAAACAAAAAAAGGATGAAGTGCTTGTAAGAGTACCCATAGCAACAGAATCAAAAATACTGCCAGCATCTGTACTCTCATTAAATTTATAAAAAGGATACTGATACTGTAATTGCCTATACAGCATAGCAACCACCTCCTAAAAAAAGGGAGATTTCAGATTCATATGAAAGAATCTGGGTCATAACCCACATGAGAAATTACAGGCCATTAATGGTTGCCATGATTAGTACTTGATATACAAAGGGAATCTAGATTAGGGAGTCAGCCTGTGCAGAAGCTCCAAGACAACTCCAGTCTGATGTATTATATGATGACAAGAAACACAGAATGAATTCCAGTGTGTGTCCAGTGAATGAGGTATCAATATCAACCTTAAATACTGAATGTTCATTTATATTAATCAACCACTAGAAAATGACATTAACTAGAAACTGAAGTACTTCACCATACACAGTTTTCTGGCATATCTTCATTCTGGTTAGACCACACACATCTGATTCCCAGGAGTGTCAACAAACTCACACAGGCACCTCATCACCATTCATCACTCAGGCATTTCATTTCTTTCCACTAATATTTCAGCAATGCAGCTGGATATCCCCACCCTACTGCCAGCAGTGACACATCGCAGTGGGACAGACAGGACAAGTACAAGGGCTGATCAGACAGGAATTAGAGCATCTTTTCCTACTACCCTCCTCTAAACCTACTCTAAAAGAGTCGTGTTGAAGTTTACTGGGGAACTCCCTGCAGCAGCTACACAACTCTATAAATAATTCCTATGTTTGATCCAGTTGCTCACTGTTCTACTACGTGCAGCCTATTATTTGTTCCTTTAATTATTGTAATTAATTAGTATTCACTACATCATCTCTACTACACAGAGCATACCCAAGTAAGCAGATTTCTGCTGGAGCTCAGTCAGTCTGTGCAATCGTTCCTCATTCTTGCCTTTCATCTGATCAATGTCGAGGCTGAAATCTGAGTGCAAACTAAGGCTGTCAGGCTGCAGCAGCGGTGTCTGGGCTGCTGGAACATCCTCCTGCAGAAAATCCAAAAATGCACAATTCCTTCAGTTAAACAGCATCCTTTTTGAAAGGGCAAATAGCTACACGTTCTCTCTCTGGATCTATAACACCACAGGAACTGCAGGAACTGTCTGACATTAGATCTGTGGCCCACCTTCATATTTAAGCCAAGCCAGTTATCATACGTACAGCACGCTCCAAAGTTTTCTGCTTCATTCGTCTCCTCTCCCTTGCAGAAGATGGAAGTGGTGGTAATAAATTAACTTCTTCTAAGGCAGGAAATGTTTCCCCATTAGCACCTGGAAAAACAGGTGAAATCATTTGCAAAGAAATCAAAATACCACACAGTGCTCAAACCTGCTTATGTTTTGAAATGAGCCGATATACTGTATTTGATTTCATCACAGGAACCAAGGAATGTATTCATTAGGACATCTTGGACAAAGCCAGTGATAATTCAGATTCAGACAAAAGAACAAGGCACCACAATGGCAGAAAGGGATGACCTTCAAGCAAAGGCCAGAAATATACCTGGAACAGGTGATCCAGAGAAGTTGTGGACTCCCCATCCTTGGAAGTGTTGAAGGCCAGGCTGGATGGGACTCTGAGCAACCTGGTCTAGTAGAAGATGTCCCTGCCCATGGCACAGAGGTTGGAACAAGATGACCTTTAAGGTCAACCAACCCAAACCCTTCTGTGATTCTATGATATATATCAAGATATCTCTTATATAGAGGATAAGGCATCCTGCAAATCTACCACCCACCTCACTTCACCACATCTTGTTTATACCTAGACCTTTAGAGAAAAATGAGTATTCAAACAAGTTTGTTTGCTCGAAACAGAGAACACTAGGCAAATTAGAGTCATAAAAAGATACAATCATGTAATAAATTATGTATGTAAATATGTTACACGGAATACATAATAACATTACACAGAACGACAATGTTACATAGAACATGATAACACATAATCTATGCATTAATCACACAGCCTTGGTCATATCTCAGTAATTTCTTGTAATAAACTGTTAGAATCTGTTCATACAAAAACAAATAACTAATTTTTTTGATCCTACCTGCGTCATATTACAGTGGAGGGAGTTTCATCTATTTTTATAATATAAATGAACCCTAAGGTGATCTCTGTGCTTCACACTTGTCTTGTCTATTTCCCTTTCTTTTGCTGATTCTGGAAACTATTTCAAATACAAACTATTTCAAACAGGTACTTTTTTTTTTTTCTCCAGGATCAGTAACCACTGCTTGGGGGCTGGTTTATGGCTTTGCTGCTGCTTGCTTCTAACATTGGGCTCTCATTCCTAGTTCAGATCCTCTAGCACCTTCAAGGACTGATACTCCCAGGAAAAGGAAGGTCTTTGCTCAACAAAATCAGTATAGAATCCATTAAATCAACTACTCTTTGTAACAACAAAGTCACCTTTTGAAAAGGTGCTTAGTCTGGTATGATACATTAAGTAAAAGGATTAAGACAACAGATTGGTGTAAATTCTAAAAGTAACAATTAAACAATTATTTTGGTTGAAAAATGAAATACTTAGGTTTGAAAAATATTTAAAAAGATATTAAAAAAAGATATTAAAAAATTCTTTTGTATTACCAGTTGGTTTTTCTCTAAAAATAAAAATTTTATTCTCCTCTTCTCCCTTCCCAGTTTCATCACAGGTACTCATACTCCTATCACAAATGTTTCAATGAAAAAAATCAAAGTGTAATTTTGAAATGGTATATGGCTAACAATCCACACATCAGAATTCCAGCTACAAGATCAGTTCAACTTCACTATATTCAAATTAGTGCTATTACTCAAAGTATAAAAAATGGTTTAATCATGTGAATTTATGACAACAGAAACAAAGTACAAGATAAAGTAGAATTTATTTGTACCATTAGTGTGTCATCCGTGTAAGATACTACATGTTCCTGTAAACATCTATCATTCAGATACTGCTGCAGAGAGATGCTTTCAAATCACTGCATTAACACTAATGAATTCTAGGGTTTCCAGTGAGGCAAAAAAGGAGAAAAAGAAACTGATGAACCCCTTTATTCCTAACTGCCTCAAATTTCTGAGCCCTGGGAGATAAATTCATTTGTAATACTGACATAATAGATGTCAAAATTGAGTTGGATTTTAAACCCATGTAAAAAAAAAAAAAAACCCAATGAAAACAAAGGGTAGTGTTACTCTCCTCTTAGGAAATGAAAAACATTGTTAAAATATACCCCAGGTATTTCACAAAAGACCCTCAGACAACATGAGCAGCACAATTCACAGAGAAGGCAGCCCACAGATAATGGTAGTCAGGGGTGGAAGTCACCAGATTCACATTCAGAATTTTAATTTGTAAAGCCCAAATAATGCAAAGGATAACACAGTTTTAGTTAGTGCCTGCAGCTCAGTATCAGAGAACATGGTTTTCACCACGGTCCTAAACGATCTGGGAATAAAAGGGAAAAGAAAGGGGGGAATATATATCATAGGTTAACTCCATCACCTCACTGAGCTGCAAGTACCAGTTGGAAGGGGAGAAAAAAGAAAAGGGTGAGAGGACTATAAAAATCATGAACCTTGTGAAAGTGGTGAACTAAACCAAGAGCACCTCATTACACAGGTGGTACATTCAGAGCAGATGAAAGGAGACAGTGTGGATGTTTATCCACACAATACTGCTAACGGTAAACAATTAGCAGGATTCAAAAATGCTCATTCCCATTCATGAAAGACAACCTATTAAAGACCCAGCTTTGCAAGACTTATTAAATGCAATCACAGAGCATTTGACTTAGGATATTTGGCCACATTCTAGACTGATGGGCTCTCCTAAAGCATCCTTTCCCCATTTGGGCTGTACTATTCCTAAGGTGAAAAAGAAGGCATTGCAGACTACAGAGAGTACCAAATGCATTGAACAAGGCTGAAAGCCTTGTCCTGTGCCCCTCCCAAGGCCAGGATCTATCCTCTACTCCAGAACTTGCATGTTAACAGAATAAGCTTGAATACATTTCAAACGAAAAATTCTGCTTTTAACCAAAGCCAGAGATAATAATCATCAGTTTATCATCTATTTTCATTAAAAAGCAGAACTCAACTGCATCTTCCCTACAGCAAAGAATAAAAACCTTGTAAAATGAATGAAGGAAATTTCAAGATACTGTAATGCCTGCTAAAGGAAAATAATGTGTAGAGGCCTGAGTTGATTGGGGTTTTCTAGCCTTATTATTTCTAGTGAATGGAAATAAAACAGCACTTATACATACATGCAGACAAAGGTTGAATAAGGAGATGTAAGAGAATGAGGCAGTCCTTTATACAAAAATCTTAAAACTAAAAGTCATCTACTTCAGATGATGAAAAAGTAACAATATTTACAAGTATGATGTTTCAAGTGAAATGAAATAATATGTGAACAGCAGAAAAGTGATTAATTTAGAAAGAATCACTATTATACCCATATAATCATACTTAAAATTGAGCATGCTTGTAAATCAAAAGAATAACCATGAAAATAAGTGCTAAGACTCTTGTATTTCACTGTGGACAGCTTGCAGTTGTAAGCTGTGATTGCCAATAAAGTATTTTATTTGCCGCAGAACAACAGAAGAGCATTGTATATTCTACCGCTGTAATACATTTGCTGAACAAATATTAGCTTTTCCTTATCCAAAGCTGGGAAGATGTCAAAAGAAGCTCCTAGACAAGACTAGCATCCCAGACAAGGCACAAAGAGCAGAGAAAGATGTTTTCTCGTAAAAGGATGTAAAGTGGTATAAGGCAGCATCATTAATTTTAGGGGTGATCTACACAAATTTATTGCAGTACAATTTCGTAAATATTTGCATTTTAATTTGGAGGCATAATTTTCTAATACTTTAAACCAACCACCATACCTGTAACCACTGTAACTTTTAAACAGTAATAATCATTTTAGAGACACAGCATTGGATTAAATAATATGTTTGTACACTCACAAAATGGTTAAGGAGAGGTATAAACTCACCGATAAAAGCGCTATCCGATTCCAACAGTGAATTCTTCAAGAATTCATTAGATTCATTCCTGAACTACAAAAGTGAAACAGAAGAAATGGAAATTCAGAGGCCTCAATATATTTCTGGAGCCAAATTATAATTAATGTAAATTAATTGCCAAACTTCTACAAAGTAAAGAGCAGCTCTACAGCATTATATTCCACTATACTTTAGGTTTCTACAAACCCAATACACTTTTAAATAACTCATATTCCCTTTAAGCATTAGGGTCTTTATTTTACTTTTCTGTAGTAATCCCATTTGCTGAAATTGCCCACACATGGCAGCTGTTTTGGTGATTTGTGCAACACAGACATGTCTATCGAGAAATAGATCCCTCTTTCTCTGTCTGAGTTTCAGAACAGCCAGTCCTGGAGGGGAGCTTTGCACTTTAGGTTTGTATGAAGTATTGATCAAATGAAGAATGATTCCTTATGTTTCGCTTATCCCACCACATACAAGCTTTGACATTAAAGCATTAAAATAACAAATTTCTTCATCGTAATAGCAAGCCCTAAGACCAACACTCCTAGTTCACTCCATAGATGCAACCATTTGTTACAGAAATTCTACTGTGGAATAATTTATGTTGAAAACCAAAGCAGTAGAAACTATCAGAGGAAACAGAACAATAGAAAACGAATCTTTTACTGCAAAGCATTGCTCTGAATGAGAATTTCAGTCAATAAATTACAACTATAAAGTGCATTAAGATGATTACTTTTTTAAACAAAAAACTGTTCCATTTTTGCATTTAGTTACAGTATTATCCTCAAGGCTAATGTCTTTGCTCTTGCACAGTCTCCTATTTTGCATGGTTTCACATTACCATGAAACACAATTGAACTCTGTTATCCTTTAGTTTGGCCGAAGCAGCAACTGAACATTGTATGCATATAAAATACACACCAATGAATATAAAAGGAAGGGAGTTAAAGAATCAGGCTCTCTCTACACACAAACATAAGTAACTTGTATGTCAAGTTTAAAGAGGCTGTTACTCATTGTGTGGACAAGCAAGAGAAGTAAGTAAGCTTGCTGCATTGTTATTTAATTCTCTTCTCCAAATCAGTGAAAGACACAATATTTTTCCCACTTGAAAAAAGCAATAAAATACAAATCCTGTTTTATTCTTACCAGTCCCATGGTTTGTGGGTAGCTGTCAGAAGCAGAGTCATCTTGATCAACAAAGGCAACATAGACAAGAGACAAAATGACAGTGTTGACATAAAGACAGTTAATACCAAAACACACTAAAAGTTTTATCACTATACAATTACAAAAATGAAGACCAATATGTATTACACCTTTAAATTTACATACATTGTAATGAATGAACAAATTTTCAAAACATTTGAATGCAACGGTTATTCCGGTTTCCTTACGTAAATTTAAGCAGAATCAGAGAAATCAAACAGAAGTCTGTAGTGTATTGTTTCTGAAAATGTTGAGCATGTGCAAGCCCCTAAGGCTGGATTCAGTCACATTCATTTCACACCAGAATCATACTATTCACAACTAATATAAATCAACTGGTTTCCATCTTACTCAAAACCTTACTTGTTATCCAGAAAAAGGAAGCATAATTATTTCTGTGGCTACTGAAAACCATTTTTTAAAAGATTATAATCATATTTCACTAAATGCTAGAACAGCACTAAATTGTGTTGAATTCTGAAAAAGTTCCCTATACCGCAACAGTCAGAACTACCTCTGAGGTATGTTTACAATAATGTTCTAAACACCTGTTATAGAAAGGTCATGTCCAAGTACTGACCTAATAACGTAAAAAACCCATCAATTTGTGGGAAAGCAGCACAGTTTAAACGATCAAAGCAACACATGGAGGCACAAAAGTTTGCTGCATGAATACTTAGTTTCTCTCTCTTCTCCCTTATGTTTCAGTTTTTGATACCTTAAGATCTTTATTGTTTGAATTACTGCATCTTCAACAAAATCCAGCCATGCAGCTAGAGAAAAATGGGGGTTTTGTCCAGTGTTCTGCACACTGCTGAATCCTAATGCAAATGGAATGTGGTACTCATAAAACCCAACAGGTTAAGTACTGCAGATGAAAAGGCATTTTGACAGAAATCTATTTTCCAAAGTGTAGCAAATAACTCCAAGTTGATGGCCTTCTTATTATAATGAAGATTATCCTCCCTTTCCTAGCATACATATTCTGGTTTTCTTGCCAGCATCTTCACATACTAAATTTTATGTGTCACATTTTTTTTCTTACAGGAAACACATTTGTAAATTTAAAAAAAAAATCAGAAGTTAATGGTATTCAGCATAACAGCAATTGCTAGTGCTAAACTGCAGTTCTTTAAACTCCATCTGAACTTCCCAGCTAGGACACAAAAGATCCCAAAAATGGAAAGAAATCTCTCTATCATTTTTTGTTTAAACTAGATATGAACCAAGTAGAAATACAAAACAAATCTGCATCAAATTTCAAAAATTAGAGAGTCAAAAATGAATTATTTCTTCCAAAATTAGGGATCACCCAAGCCATATAATTCCTGTCCCTAATTTGGTTTTTGCCATTATTTTTAGCAGTCTATCACAGGTTAGACTGCAAGTCAGGAGTCTCACTTATATGCAGTGAAGCTAAATATTACACTGCTTGGTAGTTAAGATTCATGGATACTCCAAAAATATTTACTCTATATTCCAGACATCTGCTTGCCAGGAATGTTTGTATAACTAAACGGTTGTACTTATATCAACAGAACTCAAGACTAATGATCTTCTCCCCTAGGTGGGACACCTCAACAATCAAATTGACTAGCAAGGAGGATGATGTGTCACAATCAACTCTGTTAACAAAATCATTTCTCTTGCCTTCTGTCAGGGTGTAATAACGAGAGCAGGGACTGCAGAAAGCCCCAGGAGTGAATGCACACTCAGCATGCTGAGCACACCACTCTTGCAGCTTTCAAGAGTGGTTGAACTAGACAGAGATCACTACAGAGGAAAGTACTTGTCTAAGGATAAAAACTTCAGTTCTGGAGAGCACAGAGAATCACCTTGAAATTTAATGTATCATTAAATTGTATCATTAGGTCATTGTCAATTGTATCATTGTATCATTAGGTCATTGTAAAAATGGCCTAATGCATGCTGGAAATGCAAAGAAGCAAAACTGAAGTTACTTTTCTTATTTAGTTTAAGTTTTCAAATAAAACATTTAATAGTGTTTTATTAATGTTTAAAATTATTTTAATTTTTATTTTAATTTTAAAATTATTTATTATTTTCTATTTTATTATTTTTTAATACGATAGTCTTTGGGGTTTGCATCTCTGTCTAGCAAACTTATTCAGTGTGTAGCTGAGCTTCTGTCCAGCATCAAAAACCAGAGCACATGGGCTATCAGTCCATTCCCAATATAATATTCCAGTCATGCAGAGCCCAGCACTGCAGTGCAACAACATCAAAACTGCTTCTCTGCCTTTCCCTCCTATCCCTTGAAATAACAATTGTCCAGAAATCTGCAAAAAACTGTCTTATTTATAGGGATACATCTAGCATTTAAAACTGAGGACATTTAAAATCACTAGTTTTTCAGGTTATAGTCCCACTAATAGTCCACATATTTCTCCTTTACGTAAAGACAGTGGAAACTGTATAAAAAGCATGTAAGGTAAAGAACACTTACACAGTGTGGGAAAACAGGTACACCACTACAGCCCATAACACAAAAGTACAAAATTACATACTGCTCTAATTCATCTTTCTTTCTGCCTTAAATCAGACAATAAAACCACTCATCTATTTTCAGTGAGGGGATGATGAACTTTCCTCTGACGAAAATATATCATAAACAGAGAAATACATAGCAACTAATTCTCCTGCTCAGTGCTCAGTGACAGACTATAAAGTTAAATGAAGTTGTAAAGTGATGGGAGAGAGAGAGAGAGGGAGAGAAAGCTGTTTCAAGGATCCTCTAGAAGCATTGGTAGGAAATCATTAAAAAAATAAGCTGCTTGTCTAGCAACTAATCCAAGTTGTCCAAGGAAAGGCCTCTTCAGGTTGTCATCATGTAAGCCTGCATTATCCATTTAGCATTAGCAGGTGTCTAAACTGACTGCACGCCCTCGAAATTAATGAAAATGGCAAATTTGCTTTCTAGATTACAGAGGTTCCTCTTCAGACAACATTAAATGAAACCTTTTTCTGACTGGACTATTAAAAAATATTCTAATGGTGGAAAATCAGAACCGCGCCCCAGAGAAATCTCAGCTGAAGCTAGTGAACTATTTTTTATCATTTTCAGTCAATCTCACAGAGGGGAAGACTGAAGACAACCCTATACACTCCACTTAGACATTAAATTATATTCACAACCATGTAATTAACACAGAAAATGGTACAGATATGCTTATTTGCAACTGTGATGTTCTATTATCCAAAAGCAATATTGGACACATTTGCTTGAACACCAGCACATCTGTCCAAGACAGAACAGGAATCATCTTTAATGCTCAAGAGGAGCTGAACTGAACACCCTGCAAGTGCCTGTCACCCTTCACACCCTGGTAACCAATTTTGTTGATCTTACTCACATATAGGTCTAGTAACAGCTAACAGGAACAAGCCTCAGAGCACATCCAGGGACCAGAAAAGGCACTTCATTTTTTTTAAAGCAGTATGGAAAGGTATCACTATTTTCCTTCCATATGTGTTTGTGTTGTTTGGTTTTTTTAATGTCCAACTTTCACCTCATCTCTAAGGCTAAAAAAGTCTAAGGAGCAGTCATAGGGGTGACTGAGGCAAGGCGAGGACAGCAGGCACTGTGAGAAGATGCCACGGATGACTCTGTGCCAGGCACAGCTAGTGTCATAACAGACCTGCAGCTAAGCCCATCAGTCAAGCTTGTGGTGCCTCTGAAAACATATCTAAGAAAGAGTAAAGCAAAGCATGTCAGTTAGGAGTGAGGACAAACACACGAAAAGCAAGACATGAAGGTTGGAGAAGAAGGAGGGGGAGGAGATTCTCCAGGTGCCAGAGCAGATTCCCCTGCAGGTCCTGAAGAGACCATGGTGGAGCAGATGGAAAGGTGCAAGAAGACAGAGGCAGAAGAGAGAAACCACTGTGTACTGACCATATTTCCCCCCTGCCTCAGCCTGACACCACTCATTGCATCATCGAAGGGACTGAACATAACCTGTGGTGGTACCAAGGAAGGGGAGCAGGGGCACAGGGTGAAGCTCGGTATGGGGAAGGGGGCAGAAAAGATGTGGGTTTGATGTTTGTCTTTTTGTTTCCTGCTACTCAAAGTCAGTAATTAAATATTTAAGTTTAGAGTAATTAAGTTAATTTTCCCCAAGTCAGGTCTGCTTTGCCCACAACAGTAGTTGGTAATCAACCTTCCCATCTATGGTTTGGCCAACAAGCTTTATTCTTCCTGTTTCCCCTAGTACCTCACCAAGGGGCAGGAGTGAGGGGATGTAAGCAGGAGGGCAGCTGGGTGGGAGTTTGGCTGCTAGCAAAGGCTAAGCCACCACAGAAATAAACTTACTCTCTCTTTGAAAATTTAGCTAGGCCAGTCTGAATTACAGAGGCAAACAGTTTTCTGAGAAATTTGTATCTTGCACTCAAAACTGAGTTCATTTGTATGGTTTGGGAAGGCTGAAGCAACTCTCATTATATTTTTAAATATCCAAAATAACTGGAGATATTGGTCTTTCATGACCGTTTGTAAAAGGTATCTAAATGAACCTTACATTTGGAATTATGTGGAGCATGCAAAAAAGGGGCATTACATTTACATTTCGCTCTTTCTGCAATATGCAGTTAAAATATTTTACCATGTTAGGATATTAATATTTTACTATCTTAGGAACGTCTCCATTATGCAATACAAGCAACATTTTCCTTCTGCAGACTCAAAGTATTTAAGATATCTCACATGTAGTTTCTAAAGCAAAGCCTTTTTATGACTACAGGTTGCCGAAACTTTGAAATACTCAAACCAAGATTATGGAAGTAAAAGAAATTTAATCCATTAAAATCCATTAAAAGATATGCCATCTGCATTTTAATCAATTCACAGCTCAAAGCCATCTACTTTCTCAGTGGGAACTCAAGAATTGCTTCAAGGAACTTATCTGCTAACACTTTTATCATAGATCAGCTGAAGAGTTACCCTGCTCTGTATTTTTCTTTAAAAAACAGTAACAAAATTACTTCTCTCTTGCATTTTTCTGAAGTATGAGGCACTAGCTAAATTACTTTTATCAGAGAACCAAAGAGAAACAGTTGCAGTAATTAAACCCAAAACCAAATATAAAACCACAGAAACTCCCACAAACACTCAATTTCTTTATGCTTACATTATTATAGAATTTCAGCATTCTGGTGTTTTACTGTTTCGTTCTGCAGTGTTGACAGTGAACTCGGAAGAAGTAAAACTAGACGTCATGGTTTTTAATTCTTATCAAATTCAAAACACAATTTCAATGATTTTTGTTGATCTCAGACCATTCATTCCCTACCTTCTGTTTCTCTCCTCATTCTTATTCTGTCAAGTTTCTTCTGCTGCTCCCTCAACAGTGCCTGCTGTTGAATCTCTAGAGTCTGGTCATCTTTTGGAGGATCAGGATACATGTGCCTCAAGCCAATACGCGATTCAGAATCTATAGCAAAGATATGAAATTTACTTTTTTTTTCCCTATACCAACATTTCTGAAAAGCATTTTTGAAGAAATAGCTACAGATACAGAATCATAAAAAAATCACATTAAAAATAATGGCAACAGTGTCCAAGAGGATGAGCCACTTCACAATAACTTCACAATTTTTCTATATTAAAAATATATTTTTTCTGGTAAAGGAGAAACAAAAAGTTAGAGAGAATCATAATTTGTTCGTGGGTAAAAAAATCTAATTCAGTCTACTTTCAGTAACAGCGTAATATCAAATGCACAGGAAGTGCATCAAGGACTAGAAGACAGGTGGGTGCTCCGAGTGAAAACACAGCATTAGGATGCTGTGAATTCCATGTACTTGTAGGAATGACCACACAGAGATACATACATATACAGAAGGCCATCCACTGAGTGTGTTGTATGAGCAGTAGCTGTGAAGAGCCTGATTTTTATTTTTGCCTTTAAATACTGGATGGAATGGAAGATGGAGGAAAAGAACAGATGTTTCACTACCCGTCTTCATCAGTAACAGGAGGAGCTACCTGCCTTTGTATTTAAGTTCATTAAATTCCCAGATATTCTGTATATTGACAGGATCTTGTGCCTCCTTTGATGAAGGTCGCCTTACTGGGGCCTGCAGGCGAAGCCTGGCCTTCTCAAATATATCCTTTGGATTCTTGTCTCTCCTCCTGCATGAAAAGTTTGTAAAACAAGCAGAGTGTAATATTAATGAGTTGGATGGAAATATAATACTGATAAAATTTGGATCTTTTATCCTTAATAAATCTATCTAAACAGGAAAATAAGTTTGAAAGTTGTTATAAAAAGGGATAACCTACTTAAAATTTAAAAAAAATCCCTCATACTTTATGGAATAGGACTAAGACTGATGATCAGGTGAGTCTTTTCCAACTAACTGGTATAATTAACTAATCCATTTTGGAAACAAACCAAATTTATTAAATAAAGAGGGTATGATTTTTCAAGAATAAAGTAAGTACTTTCACAGCAGTATGGCATTCAAAAACATACTCAACAGCAGTAGTACTGCATTTTACAGGCATAAATTATGCCCTAGGAAAAGAAGTAATGAGATAAAATTCCACCTTACACATCCTCTTTCTGAGGCAGAGCATTGCAACCTCCAATCTTACCAGTATAGCCATTCTGACAATAAACTTTAGCAAGATTCTTGGAAAAAAACCATACACATAAGAAAAAAATAAAGATAATTTTATATACAAGTTCTATCTTTATATCTTCATTTCACTCATGTATACTGGCCAACTAATACACAGAAGCTCTAAGTTCCTATGCAAAATCTAACTTTTAAAACTGAAGATGAAATTCTTACCGTGTAATTGGTACATCATCATCAGTGGCCATATTTAGCAACTGTTCCTGCAGCCGCCTTTCTTCACTACGAAGCTGTTTCCTCATCTCTGATAATTCATTTATCACGTTCTTTCTTTCCTCTGGAATTTAGCACAAATAATTTAAAAATAAAGAGTGTCAGAGCCACTTTTCTGTCTACTTCATAAACATAAGGTAAAAAAAAGAGAAAGCAGAGATAATGAAATGTTAATTGAAACAAAGACTGTACAACCACAAGGATTGCAGCATTTCATATACTAGAAATTAGATTAGAGCTTGTATTTTGAGACAACACAAGGACCAGATTCCCTGAATAGCAGAAAGCATCCAAAAGTCACTGCAAATGTTTTGCTATATTTAAAAAAGGAAAAGCTATGAAATAGCAGCAAGAGGGCATTGCCAGAAAAAAGTCTTACTTTGAAATAAGCAAACCTACGCATTCCTCAGAGGTCCAGAGGCAGATGACAGGAATTGAGGTGGTATCTGCAAGCACACAACCTCATTTCTGTTTCCTGTCTCAAAAGTGGGATATCTGTCTGTCCAGTGCAGACTGTCTTAAGTGGTCAACTTCTAACTTCAATTTTTAGTATGTGCTTATGCTGACTTTTTAGACCTACTTCGGGTCTAAGCTGGTTTTTTGTGGTCACGACAGCATTCCTCCACAAGTTAAACCAGTTTAATAAATTCCTCATTTTCCAAATAACATGCTTAGTAATTTGATATTTTACTGACTTTTAGACTGTGTCCAGAACCTAGCAGGGAAGCAAGTTTTACTAGTTTAAATCCTCAAACACGAGACTTAATTCATATGTCTTCATTTCTCTCGTGACAGACAGTCTGAGTCAACCAATTTCCAATGGCCGGATTAAGAACCACTCTCCCATTTAGTGGAAAAGCCACAACAGGACAGCATTTACTGCTACATTCCATATGTTGTTTCTTATATAAAGAATATTTCTTATATTTCTTGTAAAAAAGAGTCAGAAGAAAAATTACTGCTTTCCACCCATATATTGCCAAGATAACTAGCATATAAAAAGCAAAGGAGATCCTCCCAGCACAGCTGAATTTTAAAACCACCAATGAAAGCTAAGAGGAACAAGCAGAGGATTAGGCAGATTACCAAATATAAGCAGAATTTAAGAGTTACAACTGCAATTGTTGGTTTAATCCATTACTCAGCCAGTGCAAAACTCTCCCATTTTGCAATATTCTGGTCACAGTGGTAACGACTGTTCTGACTGAGAGATCCAGCACTTCCTGTGAAGACTATTCCATTATCAGAGTTTTTACAAAAAAACTTTTCCTGATGAAGATACATAATAAATGTATTTCTATTTTGCATTAAAACTTCAGACATATCATACTAATACACTGATATTATTAAGACAGAGAAAACATCCACATATAAATGCAAACCTTAAAAGACTACTTCTTTGCAGGAAAGAAAGGGAACTGTAACTGAGAACAATTTTACTGTAACAGAAAGTGAGTTTGCAATAAAGACAGATACCCACCTAATGAACGCAACTGATTTCTTCTAGCAGGGACAGGTGGAGAAGGAACTCTTGGCTGTGCAGGATCCTAGTGATCATAATGAATACGAAACGTTAATATGTAAAAGAAAGAAAATACAGTACATTTTACTTCCTTATTTTACATCAATTTACATTAACAATTGGAAGACAGAATAATAACCTTACAGGTTGTTAATGCCTAAGGTTTTTTAAATCTTATCTTTAAATGTATAATCCAAATTCCTATATTTGGATAGCATTTACAGTCACTATAAACTTATATATTACTGTAATGCACTACTCAGAGATCTAGACAAACCTATACCAAGTACTGCTAAGACAGAACTAAACAGACCTTCCTCCACAGCATTCTTCACGTTTAGGGAAAGCAATGGTTTTAATAAGGTTTAAAGTCTAACATAAAATATTCTCTGAAACTGCACTATAAAGTATTTAGTGGAGTTCATATGGACAGTTTGAAAAAAAAAAAACCAAAAAACACTTTCTCAGTAAAAAGACAGAAGTGTAAACTAAGATTCAAGTATCATGACCAATTATTTAATCTACTCTTTACAGGAGAAATTTATTTAAAAAAACAAAAAAATATTGTCCCAGGGAAGATTGTCAAATGAAAGAAATGAGAGGTCTCAGGACCACTCCTGTAACTCATTTTTGATGCAGAGAAGATGGAAAGCATATTAGGAGTTATAATCTTCTTGTACCTTCAAAAACATAAAGATGAAACAATAATGTCTGTAGCTACAAATCAACACTAAACTTCATGCTTGAGCTAAGTTCTTCTCTGAGTGAACAGGATGAGCTGCTACATAATATGTAATCTTTCTTATCCTAAATCTTGAGATCATTAGACCCTTGGTAAGGGTCTGGACAGTGTCTGTCCTGTCCAAAATGAGGTGCTCATACCTACAGAATATGCATATGCAGAAAAAAAAATTCAAACAACACATGGTCAAAAAATTTCTTCAACACTTGGAATCAAATTTAACTTTAAATTTTAGAGCTGCAAGACTGACCAATGTAAAGACTGTCTCCAGTTATCTGCAGCATTCCAGTAATAACTAGCAACCATTAAAAACCTGGTAGGATTTCATACACTGTATGGTCTTAAATAAACCAGTAAAAGTTTGCTACAATAATCGTACTTGTGAATAGTAAGATATACGGCTCTCAGCAGAGGGAATCCTTTCTTCTTTTCTTACTGATTTGTTCTGAAGAGTGGGAATGATGGGAGAAGATTGCCGTGAAAACTGCAAGGAGGAAAGTAAGGCTGAAACTATGTTCCTATAGCTTCTGAATAAAGTATTATTTTGGACAGGAAGAGTTTTGTTAGTATTTTTCATTTGACAGTAAAATGCTTTTAAATGCATAAAATTATTGAAAAAATTATTTAATATGATTTTGTTTTCACCTGTAGCAGTTTTAATCCTTTTTTTTTCTATGCTCTAGGGACTTTTTCATTTATGTTTAAGTTGCAAATCTTTTTTCCTCTAGACACTTCTATTATATCTGTCCACTTTAGAGAATTGACAGAAATTTTGTAAAAATTTTATAAGACAGTTTTATAATTTACTTCAATTTTGTCCATCAAAATTCTATGTGATGGACTTTTTACACCACCTAGGTCAAAGAAAAATAATGAGATTATCAATAACACCATCGTTCAAGACGAACAGTCCTACTCTGTATAACTAATTTTATTTGTATTTGCACCTCTGCTAATGCAGATCACAGTACTTCGCTGCAGATATAAAAATCAACTATAGAGTGCACCTTGCTCTTATTAATCTTGTTTTTACTATTTCTTAATGCAAATTTGATCAGCAAGATAAGTGTCCACTGTGGTATATCTGATTTTTCAATCAGCTGTTCTGCTTGTTCATTAAGTATACTGCAGATTGATAAAGTGAGAAGGGAACAACACTGAAGGCAGAGGTCTAAGAAATCATGTGATTTCTTTAAAATCCAGTTATTTCTAAAAGTTAGAAAGAAGTATTTGTATCTTAGAAAGTCACTGAAGCATACCATCTTCTTTTCCTCTTCCATCTTTTCTTTCTCAAAATATTGTCTAAGCTGTTCCTCTTGCTTTTCTTCTTTTTCTTTTCTTTTTTTTTCTGCCTCTTTTTTCCTTTCTTCATCCAATCGAATTATTTCTTTATTTTTCAATCTTCGCTGTAACATAAACGTTATTAGTACATAAAAAAAAGACTCAAAATTACTGAAATTTTGTTTCGGTTTTCTTTGGAAAGTTAAAATTACACATCAAAGAATCTAGTATGAAATGAAAAGCATATTTCATTAGGCTGACTTCAAACATTCAAACTAAAAAAGTATCTCATGCAAATAGTAAACATCCACAGTCCTGGCTTTGCTCACATCATTTAACAGAATTCCTAATAATTTCTATAAACATCAGTTTGTGACCCCAGATCTGCCATGAGCTAAGGCTAAACTGCAGGAGTCATTTCCAAAAACTCAGATTCAAACAAAACATACTGTAAATATGCACCACTCAATCACAAGCCCACAGAGAAAATTATCATTCAATCTCAATTTTAGTCCTGTGTTTGCGAATAGTGATGATACCAGTAAGCTTCCCACTCTATACTAGACCAGCTCTAGTATTCCGAAGACTCATCCAACTAACTTGCTCATACTAAGGAAGGAGAATTTAGAATATAAGCTAAGTGTTCTCTCCTAGAAAACTTGAAGTCCTACATCCTGAACCGATCTTTCATAATCCCGCAGGCTACTGAAATATTCCTCCATCTCTGATGGCCCTGCATCCTTTTCCTACAATTATTTATGATATTCAAAATCATGAAAATGTATTCACTTTTTCGAACCTGGTAAATAAAACTTTACGTTTTAATTAAATCCATGGGGATTGATTTGGATTTGAATTTACCTCCATGAAAAGCATTCATTAGATTTGGTTGGCATTCTTCCAAAACAAGTAGTATTCTTATCTCAAAGATATCTCTTTACCAATTCAAAAGAAAGCTTTACAAAACCTTCCTGTATAGCTACATTTGTAATACAAATAATTCCATGAGAGCTAGATTTAAGATGCTAATAAAAAAAGCCAAAAACTGGGCTGTTTTTTTTAATTCACCAATTTGACAAAGCTTTTTATTGGTCTTATCACCAAATTCCTTTAGAAAGAAGAGCACAACTGTCAATTATAAAACCATGTAATTTTTCTTAGAAGCATTAACAGCACTTCAAGGTCATAGTACATGATAAAGAGTGAGAAGAATGTGCTAGTTAATGCTGACAACCATCCACTTCTCCTCTGGCTAATGTAGACCCATTTACAAGCAAGGACCAATTCACAGGACAATGCTTAGTTTACCTTCTTAGTCTAGATGACAAATATTGCAGAGGGTTAGTTTAGGATGTAAAAAAGTCAAAGGATCAAAATACTACACCTCCTCGTCTTTCTTCCTTTTCTCTTCTTGTTCATCTTCATATGCTTTTTGAATTCTCATCCTCTGTTCCGCTAGTCGTTTTTCCTCTTTTTCTTCTTCCATTCTAAGTTTTTCTCGTTCTGCTTCTTCCCTACGTCTCTTTTCTTCAATCTGGAAAATAAAACAAAGAAGTATTTAACTGTCAATAGTCAGCAATAATCTGATAAACAACATTTACCATCATTTACCAACATTTACCTTTTGCAGTAACTACTTGCACAATCAAAAGTTTTATGGCACAACCGAAAGAATATCAGGGCCTGTTTTACATTTCAGTTTCAGAACTCCTTTAAAATGACATTCTATTTTACTATTTCTTTTAGTAAATATTTACTATTTCTTTTTGGCCACTATTTACAGAACCATCCTCCAGTAAGAAAACTACTTATAAATGCTACTAATAAACCCAGGGTATTTCCTAACACTTCCTCTACTCCAGATGTGCTGGAATAACACTTTTCTTCACTAATTAAATAATGGAAGATGGGAAACCAAACCAAAAAATACATGGCAATTCTTTTTCCTTTCCACAATTATAGTATTTTTAGACCCAGTGCTGACTTACTAAAGCTAAAGGTCTGCCCTTTAGTCTTTCTGGCAGTCCCATACATGGAGAAAAAAAAACCTTTTATCTTTTCAAGAGATCCACATCAAACTACTGTATGACTTTAGTACTCTTTTAAATTACATAGGATTTCCTCAATGTTGATATTTAATAACAATGATATTTAATTCCTGTGGCATAAGATTAAATGTGAAGTATTACGGACAGAAGACAGAAGCTGGTAGAAGAACAGTTGGGCTTTATATACACATCAATAAATAACTACACTGTGACTGTCTCACTGATCACCATTTCATTTTGATGAGCGTGCATCATGTAAACTTCCAAAGGCAAAGATCTTTGTTTCTTTAGGTATTTATGTGCGCAAACCTGTACAGTAAGCACAGTTTGAGAACTCAATACTGTATTTGAAGAGCTGTACTTAGAAAAAAAAAAAGATAGAACCTGGATTATAGAAGCCAACTAATAAGAAATGCTTATAAAAGTGATGCTATTATGCAAGCCAAAATCTGAGAAACTTGATAGTACATAGCTCTTACTACACCTCTTGTGTACAGAATTGGGTATGATTGGGTAAGTAGGGTCTTTGGTCAGCAGTGATGATTTGCTCCAACTGCAAACCCTCTTTCTAAAGTTCATTTAATCAGATGATATCTGGTGTGCACATTCACCTGTAGACGAAGAAAGTTCTTGTATGACTCCTGTCGCTTCAGATACCGTGGAGATGGTGGTTCACCAAACACATTACCTCGAGCAAAAGGAGAGGCCTGTGCAAATGTAAAACCTAAGGGAGGGGGAAAATTACAGACAAAAATCAAAGCAAATTTAAGACAGCAAGTCAGAGTGAAGAAGGGAGAATCTAAGACACTTGTTTCAAAAGGTATCTTATGACAGCCATAATTCAATACTATAACTGGGATTAAAAGTTATTACATTGCCTGCCTACAATATTGCCAGGTTTTAGCTGCTTAATTAATAATATCAAAGTGAGTTGGTTTTTTTTTACTAAATAACACCTACAAAAATCATATATTTTTGTCTGATCTGCAGTTTAGTATCTAAAAATATTACCTGCAAGTTAATTAGAATAGCAAATACTTTACACCTCATAACTTCACTGCTTGCAATTACTCTTAGAATATATAGTTCTGTTCCTTAGGTTTATTCACTAGTTAAAAACAGAGCATCCTAATAGAACAAATGTTTAGGCAAAATAGCAAAGGATGCTACAAAAAACAAAGCCCCAGACTGGTAAATGAAATTCTAAGCAGTCAGAAAACTGAATTCTGGAAGTATAAGGTGCCTTCTGTACTGTGAAGCAGGAAGTGTCAGGCCTCCTTTAGCCCTGAGTTATGAACACGTCATAATCATACAGTCCCAAAAGCTCTAGATAGGAGGATTAATTCAGATACCACACAGAGCAGATTTTGCAGAACAGAATCCCCACAGGAAATAGAGGAGAAAGAGAGGAAGTAAAGGAAAAGTAGAGTAAGTTGTGTTAACTTGCCAGCTCATACAGCATGTTTTTCACTCATATCATGCCTTCTCTGAAGGAGTGTGCCTCAAAGACGTGCAAGAGTAACAGCTCCACTGAGCTCAGACAAACATTACATTTCCCTATATGGTGATGTACCATCCAAGTCAGATGAAAGCAGAAATAACACATACACGTATTCCCATAGGAATGCATATGCTTACTACTACAGCCTAGCCTTAGGAGCATGTGCTTGCATACCAAGGAGTACACTTTGAGGTGTTATTCTTCCTTACATGGAAGCAGTGTTTGAATCTTTCCAAAATGTAACTAAATTTACATGTAGCTCTTTCAGGATGGAGTTACTTCCCATAGATATGTTCCATGCAAAAAAGCAGAATAAATTTTATATACCATTTAGAAGGCATGGATACAAGACAGACACAAGTTACTATGGAAAGTATCAAGGAAAACACTTGCTGTGTACCAGTTACTGTCCTTCAAGTTCTTCTTTTAGTGGGTTGGTGTACAAAAAGCCTCTGCAAATGCAATCAACCAAACCCACCAAAACATATATAACGTCACTTCACTGCCTGGTTGATCAAATTCAAGGTGCAAGACTATAAAGTTCCCATCACTGATGTGCACCACCACCTGATTTCAAAGTAAGTGGTCTAACCAGGGGGCTCTTCACTGTTTTACGTTATTACTTTATCGGCCTTGCCTGTTTCATTCCCACTAAATGATTAAATATACAGCCTGTAAGAGATAAAGAATAAGAGGTGGGACAGAAGGAACAAAAGTTAGTAGTAAGGACACTGAGTTGCAATCACGCAAAGTAGATCTATGCCCCAAATACCATGTAACTCTTTATACAGCAGTGCAACAGTTCAGACAGGAGAAAGAAAAGTAGCATCTAAGTTGACTTAAGATCATCACCGATCCTGGCACTTGCCCAAACTAGGGACAGATCTGGAGTACCACAGTGTTCTCATTTAGATGTCTCACAAAATGTAAGATGTATTTGTTTTTAAACATGAAAAAAACATAAAATCTCTATAACTTGGAGGCAATGCACAGGGCTGCATATGGACCTAATTTACCTATAACTTTTTAGAACTTGTTAAGCTCATTACTGTGCCAATTTCACCTTAAATCTCTAATATACACCTGAAGACCTTCCATCTCCTTTTATTTTGTATTCTCACCTACTATACAGCTGTATTTTACTATGTCATTTAAGAATTTAAAAAGTATGTATGAGGATTTGATTAGATAACACTGAACCTGGAAAACTAACATACCGATCCTGACTCGTCAGTGCTAAAACACTGATTAGTTACCACTACTGACAAGACAGGAGAAAATACATTTTAAGGGCACGCAGTGACAGCAATGAAGAAGTTTGGGAAAGAAGCATGACACTGATTTTGCACACAGAGAGCATTAACACTATCACAGGACTACTAAAAAGGGGTAAAGAACTAGAGAATTTTGATCACTAAGACTTATGGATAATTAGAGCTGTAATATAGTATAAACCTGCTATTTTATTTGTAGATGCTTCTGTGTTCTCAGGTCTTGAGGAGGCCAAACTTAGGTCAACAGCTACAAGAGCCCTTTTATCTTCATATAGTCTTGCCTCTGGATTATGATATGCATCTTCATTTTGCTTGTGCATGATATTCAAGTCCGCTAAAGGAAAGGGGAAATAACTGTTTATAGTATTTTATTCTCATAAAAAGCACGTTCATCCCAGATTCTCAAAAATACAGGGGTTTTTGATCGAATTCCACTTTTCCTGAGCATATCAGCTATGGGAACAGAAGATTCAGGCAAAGACAAGAATATAGAGGCTAAAGGTGAAATACTTAGGTACTATTAATATATAATATATATAATGTACATATATTACATATAATTAATATATAATTAGGTGCTATTAATTAGCTGATTAGAAGATTTATTTTGTTGCTTTTCTTCTGTCAGGAATGATTCTTCACAACAAACCTCCCGTTTTCCCACCCCAAAATGCTATTAAATGAAAAGATAAAGAGCTCAAAGACAAAAGTGACTGACGAGTGTATGTTGACAAGCACATATTTAGAAACCACCCCTTCTTCTATCTCCTTAAAGTTGTAAAATACTTCTGAGTTTAGTGTTGGTATTTAAGTACTGAATCTCTATTTCATTACTATTAGGAGTGATAAGTGCACTCAAGCATTGAAGTGTATTTCGGTTTTCATGTCTTCAGTAATAATCCAGATGCAAATTTCTACATGTAAGCAAAGCAACATTATCCAGCATTTGCACCAAAATTTACATGGTGCCTTATCAAAGATGTTAATTTCAACTGGTTTTGAAGTGTTACCATACTATACCTAGAAGGCTCATTTTAAAACAAAAAAAGTACTGCACAGTTTTCAGATTACCTTTTGAAATAGCATTTCTGATAATTATGTAATCATAATGATAATTACGTAGTCATTTAAGCACATGGATTCCAGGAACTTCAAATTACATTCCTCTCTGTAAAGCAGCCTTTGCATATATCAGAATCTCAAAAGCTATTTACAGACATTTTTAAGAGGATAAAAAGACAAGTCACACTGCATAAAAAAAGAGACATGGCAGAAAGCATGTGATGTTTCACGACATTTGACTCATAGCTTATCCATCATGCTGCCAAGCTATGGTGGGAAAAGAACTTTACATATGTAATCCAGGAAAAACAGGGTAAGAAGCTTCTTTCTCTCAGTTCCTCATTTACAGATAAAATTCTCAGCAGAGCTCAGGCTAGTGTGAGACCTCTACATTTCCACTCTCACCACTGTTAAAGCATAGAGAAAGAAGTCAAACACTTAAATGCAGCGTCTAAAGTCAGGCAGTATTAACACCTCTATCTGCTCTGGTAATAAATGCAAGCTTGGATCCTTAATGCAAGCTTCTGAACTTGTAATTTGGCTACAAAATCTTTAAAAAAGCATTTAAACTTCACCTGCTACCCTCAAACTACACTATTAATTTTGCCATATGTTGCTCAGGTGTCATATAACTGAAACTAACTACTTATCCAGTAAATGTTCCATAATTTACTGGAGGGGTGGATGAACAACTTGCCTGGATCACAGCTATTTCCCAGCTCGGTACTCCCATCTTGTATAAAAGAGCATTTGGAAAAAACTAAGCCTTAAAAAACATTACTGTGGACTGCTCTTTATATAGCCACTTACCAACAGTGTTACTTGTGGAAATTTAAATATTCCACTTAGCTTTGTATATTCATATAAAACATGCTTCCATTTTCCATGTCAAAAGTAGAGATTTCTAACCCTAGAAATTACTTTTAAAAAGAAAAAACAATTTAAAACTTGTCCCTGGACACGTTTAAATAAAAGTCTTCACAAGAGAGCATATTCTAACAGCTTGTTTTCCTCCTTCTTTCTCCCTTTACAACTGCATGTCTTCACTTCTAGTTGACATATCCTGCGTTGCCCATTGTGTTCAAATTGCTCTTCAAATGCCTCTACAGAAATCAAAATAATTACTGAAATATTCCTAGAGTGCACCTCCTCGAACAAGTAAGTCTATTTGTCAATAAAGGGCTACTAGTGTTACTAAACAAGGGATAATGTAGCTGAATAGAGCCTTTAGGAGAGCAAGAAAACATCAATCTTGAAAAGACAACACATAATTTTGGCAAACATACTTATCAGATTTCCTTTTGCATCTCTGAGAGGAGCACCACCACCACCTCTTCCCCAGGGGTTGTAATTCCTCATTTCTGCTTCTAACTTGGCTTCATAGCGCTCCTTCTCCTCTCGCTCCTGCCTGCGCCGCTCTTCTCTCTCTCTTATCTAAAAACAAACCAAACAAAGTCAGTTCCATAAAAATATCACATTAGGTATAATTTTAATAAAAAGTTAACGGTGCCAACTGAATGCTCTCATTACCTATTTCCCTCATCTATATCAAGCAGATCCAAACATTTCACTGTCTATGCTGCAGACAGTGCATTGAATACTGTTGTGAAAACGTGCACGGTCAGTTGTGCATAATCAGAGAAACACACAGATACACATTATAAGACTCCCAAGTTCCAGAAATGTTCACATCTGACACTTGCTCTATATCCAAAGTTCCATTTCTCTGCATCTTTGATACAGATGTTTATACTGCCTGAAAATCAAACAGGCAAAATTGTACAATACTACAACACTTGCTTCTCTCAACCTGGTATATTTTGTTTAATCAAAACTTAAACTAGAGATGACTCCTAACAATAACTGCCTTAACAGAATGATACACAATTCTATAACCATTGATGAACTAGTTTTCTGCAGTAATACCATATGATGTATGTATGTAACACAGAAATGTTCATACAGATTGTTCTTCCTTATCTTCAAAATCAGGTTACATTTACATAACTACATTTCCTCATAAATGTAACATATACAAAGTGAACAGCTGTTAAAAAGTTCCTCTTCTGCTTAGGGCTTTTCAAACATTAACTACTATCTATGTAACTAAAATATATTACTGTATTTTTCTTAAGTTTGCATGTGCATTAGATAAACTTACTAATTAGATAAATATAGTTAGTATAAACCACTGTGAGAGTGATGAGGCACTGGAACAGGCTGCCCAGAGAAGCTGTGGATGTTCCATCCCTGGAAGTGTTCACGGCCAGTTGGGATAGGGCTCTGAACAACCTGCTCTAATGGTAGGTGTCTCTGTAGGGGGAGGTGGAACAAGATGACCTTTAAGGTCCCTTCCAAGTCTAACCATTCTGTAATTCTATGATTTCCCCTTATCAAGTAGTCGTACAATTTCATTAGAGATATAATGAGTAAACAAAGACCCATCTAGCTCCTTCAACCATTCACAAAAATGGTCAGTCTTGTCAACAGGAAAAAAAAGCAGAATACCTTCTGTTTGCTTTCAACCATAAGCAGCATAATAACTCTGAAAAACTGTATCGTGCAATGTTTATTAGACCTTTGTGTCAAATTGTGCAGCTTCTCATATGGCAAAACAAAATTTACTTAAGCCCATAGTAAAAAAATGCCTTTAGAGAAGCATATGTGCAATATCAGACACTATTCCTAAATGTTTATTTAATTCTTTATTTGACTTGGCTTGGCAGCCTTTCTTTTATCCCTATGCACAATCATAATTAGAACTATAATATTTTTATAGCCATTATTTACCCCCAGCAAAGAAATATATAAAGAATAAGATGAGAAAATATTAAGTGCCACTGAACTGGGTTCTAGCAAAATATCTTGCAAAATAATATGCCTCATTATGGCCAAATAGATTTTATAAACTCCCACAAGGTACAGCAACAAAAGGTCACTAAAATGAGTAGGGGTCTAGGATGTCTACTGGAACAGGGGATTCGAAAAATTTGTCTAGTCTATCAAAAAGGAAGCTAAAAATGGTAAGGCACCACTGCAAACACACTGGAAATAAACATATGGGAAGCTTTTGAATTAGTGTCCAAACGATCATGAAGAACTTACTGAAATTAGACTGTTCCTAATAATTATAGCAATAATGCTCAAAAGCAATCTTTTAGCAGGAATATCACAGCAATATAATCCACTGCCTTTAAGATGCAGGTTCTTATGTTTATGAAAATAATCATACAAAGCTACATGCCTGGAACTAACGTTTGCTGTAAATCTTAACATTCTCTCTGCCTCTGACAAAAAAATTGAAGAGCTTATTGTCTGTTTGAAGAGTTAAAGCAAACTAAAGCAGGGTCTGAGGAACGTGAGGAAAGAAGTGATGAAGGGAGGGAGAGTTAGAAAACTTTTTACTTGTAAGCTAAATAAAAATGTCTGAAAGAGTACTACAGTTACAACCATTGTGTGTTAAAAAATAAAAGAATAAAGAGTCAGAAACTTTATCACTCAGTACCTGCTGTTGTAACTCTTGTTGGTAAGATAATGTTGCCTCTTTGGAAGGCTGTGTTTTTTCTTCAGAAAATATTCCTATGCTTCTTTGTTTGTCTCCTGTATTCCTCTGTCCAATGTTACTTCTGAATTGAAAAACCACACATATAAAAAGAAAACATCACAGGGTCCAGATGGGGGGAATTAAAAAAAAAAAAAATTAAAAATTCCTTAAAAGCTGTTTTCCACAGCCTGGTAGATTATAATCCCAAACATTTTCATAAATTTATATGAAAGTAGGAGTTTGCTGAATTATTGGTTTATTGTTTAGATAGAAATCCTTCATTAGAAGTTTGAAGAGTTGTGTTTAATACATTTTATTTCAAAGGCATGTCCATTCTCAGCAAAATATTCCCAACACAAAAAGATAAATGCAAACAAAGAATATGAATCCAGATAATACTTACACAGATTGCTCTGCTGGGGCTTGATTTAAAGGGGGATCCAGATTAGGAGTAGGCTGCATTCCCATCATACTGGTACCATCTACACAGAAAAAATAAAAATACTATTTTAAATTTTGAATGCTTGGGTATAAATATTTGCCATTACTTAAAAGAACAGAGTTCACTGCTCTAACTCTGTAAATGCAGGATTACTAACAGGACTTTCAGCTTCTATAACAAATTTAGCTAATCCATAATGCCCTCTAAAGCAAGAAATACAACGCCACAGTACAAATCTATTTCTTAAATTCAACTAAACCCCTTTAAATTTTACAAATTACTTCAATAACATATTCTAAAATGAAATAACAAAATAACTCGCTTGATGGTAACACTTGTCCTCATGCTTTCCAAATGTATCATCTAATTACAGTACATCTGGCACCTGTACTCTCACTGAAACAAGACCTGCAGCACCCTGCCACAAGGGGCTTGAAATTACTGTGCTTATTACTGCTCGTGTTCAAGACAATTTCACTGTTCAAATATCAAGCACTAGCAATATTCCAGTTTGAGTAACCAAGCTTTAGGACAACTTAACTCTCATATGTGAATTTCAAGTATTAGTTTCTTTAATACTCTAAACTGTAAGCCATTTTACTCTAGAAGTTTTATGGATAGAAGTTAAAAACAAACACAAACAAACAATAACTACCAAAATAAAATATACAGGAAAAAAACCGAAACCAAACAACCCCATCAAAGTCCCCAAACTTCTGTGAGTTAAAACTGTGGTCTGAAAATAAGATTACAAAGAAAAGATAAAATGCATGGAACTTTTAAATAAGGAAGCAAACAAACAAACAAGTCTTTCTCAAACCCTAAGATATTACATAACAAGATAGGCAGAAATTTACAATGGAGACAGAAAAAAAAAATCCCAAAACTTTTGCTCTTCAGTCTCTACCTTTCCTGAAATTCCCCAGTGCATACAAATACCATTCAAATAAAACTAGTAAAAGAGTTATTTTTGTAAGGGTTTTTTCCCCCCTTTATTTTACCGTTTCTATGAAGGTAGCTGTCCTAGTTAGAGCAGTCAGGACTAGTTCATCACTGCGTGGGTGTAACCCAAACTGTGTATTCTACACCCTCTATGTCATTTCCCAGAAGCTGTTAACAATAGACCGTTTGCAGCAGCTGCCCAGAGCACACCTGACCCCTCAGGCTATAACTGGGTGTTAAAAAGCCTGTGAGATAGGAGGATGTTCCTATCCTCACACCAATGACTCAGGTGTGATAACTCCCCTCCAGGGAGTCATCAGCACCTTCACACCCAGCCTGAGGGGTCATGTCTGCCAATGGGCCACCAAGGATCCCAATTATATCTCACAACTCACAACCACCCCTTGTAGAACTTCCCACCCTGCAGGAGGTACTGGGCATTCCCACTCGAACCTGAGAGTATATAATCTTGGGGTCTTGGGACTTCTGGGCCCCCACTCGTCAGATCCAGAGGAGGACCAGAACCTCGACCAGACTGCGACCAGCACTCTCACCAACAGGTTTTCCTCCCCTTTTACTTTGGACTCAGGGGGGCCACGTGGGGCTCAGCACGGGGGCCAACAAACATCATTCTGTATGTGCCCCAGCGTGCTGGGTTATACATCTGGGTTTTGTAGGTTAAAAACCAATTGTCTGTCTGTATAATTGTATTTACTGTATTATTGTTATTAAATTGTAACTCTGATTTATAATCTCTTTTGAATTGGGTTCAGTTTACCTTTCAGTTTATCTTTAAACCAGCACAGTAGCACAACAAATTTTAAAAAGTATTTCTGCTTTTTCCTCTAAAAAAGCAAAGAAAAGAGAGAAAAAAACCACACCACACAATCCAGTCCCTCCACACACACATCACTATTGTTTCTCTCATGAAATCACTTTTGAAGCACTCAAAGGATAGACCAAAAAAAGTCCTTAAAATACAAAGTTAGAATTCTTTGTACATTATTTTAAGATATTTAATGTATTAATGTTCTAAAAATATTTAAAATTATATCTGAAATTGTAACAACACCAAACATGTAATGAATTATATTAGTTATGTAAATTCAGAAAATAATGTTTTAATTATCAAAATTATAATGAAAATTATAATGCAGGAGGAGTAATGGCTAAGTAGCTGAGACTAGAGCTTGTTCAAGTGATGAACAAGATTTCTGGAAGCCACAGTCGCTTTTGTAGTTGAAAAAAAACTACTTCATTCAAAAACACCATTGGAAAAAAGCCCTTTTCATTCAATTCTAAAAAATTAGTTTGATTTGCTGTCACTAGTTCCACATTATTCATTATTTAACTAGATTAAAAGTAGTCACCTTAATCACTCTAACAACCAATCCACCTAAAATCATCCACTTACAATATGCAAGAGCGGGATCCAGAGGATTCCTAGCCCCATAAAAGTAATATGCGTCATCATAAGGTGTTCTATAGTTGTCTGTCAGAACTGGTGCTGGAGGCGGTGGCAATGGTGCAAGCCTTAAAGAAAAAAGGGACAAAACTCTTTGGTTTGCTGTACAGCTGAAGAGATCATCAAAAGAAGCGAAGTGAGGAAGGAAAAGAGAGGGAGGGAAAGAGAAGGGAGGGGGAATGGGAGTAGAAAGAGAATTCATTATGAAAAAATTCTAATTTAGTTCAGCTGAAGACCTCTCATTAGTGCCGTGCAGAAACAATAAGCCTCAGTAGGGAATTTACCTTCCCTTAGGGAGTAGTACATGAACCCACACTATTCCAGAGATCTAAAGAACATAAAACAAGCACGCCTTCTTTTACTAGCTCAGTTAATGATACTTACTGGTTACATCAGTAACAGTAAATAAAACAAGGCAAGGATTAGTCTCTGGTCAAAGGCTGAGTAGCTCAGCACAGCTTCAGCCACATGCCTGAAGCTCCTTCTCTCTCTCTCAACAGTTTAGCCTCAATCACAGCATCTAATGGACACTGTCCTTGCCTACAGTGCTTTCCTGAGGGATGCACTGTAGGTATCCCTTGGGATATTGCTAACTGACAGGGGCCAAACTCATACCATACCAGCCTTCTGAAAATATGGCCATTGCTGGGCACGTGCCCAAGCATCCTCGCACATGATTCAATATTACAGGCATGGACATAACTTCCACAGTACAACCCTTATCCTATACAAACGCCCACTAGGAGAGAGCTGTCTTCACAGATAATCCAGCCTCCACAGATTTTTCAAAATAAACTGTGAAGAAATTGACATTTAAAGTTTATTCCAGTGCAAAGTAGTCAGTTTTCTTTTAATTGTCAAAATATTGTTTCTACCTCCACCAGTTCCTTGGAGAAGGATCAGTAGCACCACTGAGCTCTACCTCAGCAGCAATAACATGCTTAACATCAATCTTATTTAACATGTAAAACAAACATGATGGTGAAGCACCTGGGAGCTGCTATTTCACCAAGAGTGCTGGCTAGCCCTCTGGGAAAGTCTTTATCACTCTGAAAGTCTTCATTCACTGGAGAGGCTGAAGGGGCAGGCACTGGAGTTTGGAAAGCTACCCTGGGCCTTTCAGGAGGTACTTTCTCTTCAGAAGCTCTTGCTGTGAAGCCAAACTGCTTCAGTCTATTTGGCTAAAAGGGGAAAAAAAAAGGTAAGAGAAGAAAAGAGCATAAACATAAAACCAAAATGAAACGGTTATCTTGTCATTACTAGGAAATATTCTGACCTTCCATTTAGGTTGTTTTAAACACTTCACTGGGTCCCAACTAGCTATTCAAATTTCTAGTAATTGCAGGTTTTTCTCCCAGTGGTTTACTGGGAATCTAATACTACAGGGAAATCTAGGAAGTTTATCATGGATTTACAAAAAACAACCTCTGTGGCAAGTTTCAAGAAGCATACAGTTCTAGCTAATACCCAGAAAAAAGAATATTTCTGTCTGTAGTACAGGTTATCTACAGCTGCCAATTTCTTACACTGACAGAATTGTCACATTATATTAGGCATAGGAAAAGTTTACAAAATCCCTCCCTCCCATCCCAAGACTGAAATGGCTCATAATCACTAAAAACTGAAATCAAACAGATACTGAGACTTTTTCCAATAAACATTTCCTTGCAACACCATTATTTCATTTTTTAAGTTCCTTGTATTTTATTGATTTTTTTCAACCACAACAATTATGAATTTTTGGGGTGGTTCTTTTTCAACATAGAAGTAGCAAATGTTTATTGATAACTGGCAGCCTCAGAAGAAAGTCAAAGGCAACATGCAAATAATGCAAAGGCATGCAAGTCAGTTAGTTTCAGAACTACCCTATCACATCCAGAAAGCTCTTACAGCAACTGCTGTGTGTAACTATTTTAATGTTTATTTAAATAAGTTAATATAATAGAAGAATGGAAACAAATCATACAGTGTATAAGTAAAACAGATTTTGTTCTGAATTCGCTGGTCCTAACATTGCAGTGCTTCAACTAACATGCATTCAGAGAAAGTAATACCAGAAACCAGCTAATTATTAAATATCTAACAGCAAATCATAAACCCTACAATATGGAAGTATTTCAGCAAAATATTAAATCTTTACCTCCTCATCACTTAGCTGCAAGACAGTATATACAAAGTAGTTAGTACTCACCAATCACAAACTACAGCATTAAGATAAAAATTCTCAAAATCTACTTGATTTGCTTGTAACATTTAACTTCAAATTTCTATATGTGAATACAAAAGTAGCTAACAGATACAAGCTACAGCAATTGAAAATTATAATGCAGTCTACAGACTATTTTTTTAACTTGTCTTTTCAAATCCAGTGTCTTGAGCAGGAGAACATTTAAAACAGCCTTTTTCACTAACTTTAATGTGAACTGTTCCCAAAGTGCCCCAGATTTCAGCTCTGTAGCTAATTTCAGATTAGCTGTGGTATTCAGTTCATCCTGGGGACTGTTTCATTTTAAACGAGCCAAAAGTCTACATTTATAGATTCTTAATCAGGCATTGCTATTTAACCAACCTGTAATTAATCAAGAAATCCACCTAATTAGAATCTCTCCCTGAGAGGCAATTTAAAGCTAACAGTGACTGATGCTTAATGAATGCAGCAATTCTACTTAATTGAAGGCTTTCAGCTAAATTAGTGGTTTTAAAACACTGTGCATGCTCTGGACGTGCTCTAGATATAATTTTATTCCCACAACAGGCACTTTTGAGATGCATATGGTATACTGAGTGCTGCAGCAAAGCATGTTTCTGCATAGTCAGCTTTGATTAGACAATACTGTTTACACTGACCTTGCAGCCTGCTGAGCCAAAGGACCCAGCATCCTCTGCTCAGTTTTGTCTCTTTTCCTGCCTGGCTCCCAGCCATATACTCCATCTCTCTCCCTTTCACCATCTGAATCCCTGATCAGCCAGCTGACCTCTCTAAGCCAACTAAAGCAGCAAAAAAGACTCAGATTTTTGCCAGCTAACCAAGCTGACTCAGTTTGCAAAAGGGATCAAACAAGCAAGACAGACACTTTCAGCAGGGAGGGCAGGAACATGCAGCCAGAGCAGTGTTCTCCCTCCCCATTTAGAAGTAAGAATTTTGATTGAGCTTCACTGCTTGTCTGTGCACATTCTCAGCCTCCTGCCTCACATGCTGACTAATAAAATCTTACAGCTATCCACCCACCTTCATTTTCTAGCAAATAGGACCTCCTTTCACCTCTACTGAACCCTCCAGAAATGGCATAAGTTTCTTGCATTCAAAAACACCCAGCACTGCTGATAATTTAAACCAGTTACCAGTTAAATTAATGACCAGTCTATTCTTGATTGAAACAGTTACCAACTCTTCAGCAGCAGATCTCCAAGATGCAATGGCTTCAGGCACATAGCAAACACACATGCAAATCATGCAAGTTCTGCAACAAGCAGTCAGCTACTAGTGCTATAGTGCTGACAACCTACTCCTTGATATATGCTAATCAAAATTTTTAACGTAATCATCACCTTACTAAGGAAGTGGAGACAGCAGGAACTCTGCATCACGTTTTACAAGCAACAAAATATTAAGCATCTTGTTTTTTTACAAAATCCTATGAAAATGCTTGTAATCCTGAACACTACATGGAATCATTTAAAAACAATTACAAATTTGAAATTAAAAACTGATACAGTGAAATCAACTCATCTGCAAAACAACTAGATTTTTTCTTAACTGAAAAAGAGAAAAAACTTTCTGCAGCATACTTTACATTTCCAAGGAAAGGTTACTACTGTGTGCATGTAAACAGGCTAGCAATGGACACTAAGTATTTTTTTTATGATAATCACTGCCTGTTCAAAATTTCCACTTGGTCACTGCACAAGAAAATGTTCAATAACTTCCATGAAAATACTTTCCTCTTAAGCTGACAGCATGTGTAACAAGTTACAGCCTGTGCTGGTTTTGGCTGGGATAGAGTTAACTTTCTTCAAAGTGGCTGTTATGGGGCTATACTTTGGATTTGTGCTGAACACAGGGTTGGTAATATAGTGATGTTTTTTGTTATTGCAGAGCAGTGCTTACGCAGAGGTAAGGCCTTTTCTGCTTTTCATACTGACACGCTGGTGAGGAGACTGGAGGTGCATGGGAGGTTGGGACAGCTGCCCCCAGCTGACCAAAGGGACATTCCAGACCATATGACATCATGCTCATTATATGATGTGGGGGCAAGAAGAAGGGAGGGATGTTCAGAGTGATGGTGTTTGTCTTCCCAAGTCACCATCATGTGTGATGGGGCCCGGCTCTCCTGGAGATGCCTGCCCATGAGAAGCAGAGAACTAATTCCTTGTGTTACTTTGTTTGTGTGTGCACCTTTTGCTTTCCCTATTAAACTGTCTTTCTCTCAACCTATGAGTTTTCTAGCTTTTATCCTTCCTATTTTCTCCCCAGTCCCACTGGGGGGGGATTGAGTAAGTGGCTGTGTTGGGCTTGGCTGCTGACTGGGATTAAACCACGACACAGCCTTATCATCCTTGGTTTCAATTTTGTTCTATTCTGATGCCCTATTAAAAAAAAAACCAAAACAATCAGCATTTATCATTTTATAGAAGCCCTACAGAGTTTTGTGACTGAGCAAGAAAAAAGGAAAAGTCTATATAGGTGAAAGAAAATCCAAGTTTCTTACCTTCTTTTCTGGGTCATGAGCTCCAGAAGCAGCAACTAAGAGCTCAAGTTCCTTCTCACTGTTTTGTTGGGGATTTTTTTTTTAAAAAAAAGGATCATATCAGAAAGCAGTAACAACTATACTCATTCTTTCAAAGCATAGAGCTCACAACTTTGTAGCTAAAATAACTCCGAAAATACAGGATAACAGAAGACAGTAATCCACTTGAATTCTTCTGGAGTCAGTGAAGGAAACTGTGTAATATTTTAAATAAACAGAACTCTCAAGAAGCATCTGGCTACCATCTATTCCACCTAATAAAAATCCAACTACCATAAAAGGACAAATCACCACAAACCTGTTTACTACAACTTTTCAGGACATTTCTTAAAATTTATCTTTATTCACATTCAAGAAGTTAGTATTAAATACATTGAAATGACTGATTCAAAATTGCAGCAATAAATACTATTTTGTAATTTCTGGGCTCAGGTTTGTTTAGCATGCAGAATTTTTCATCATAGTGAAACTGCCAATACTAACTTATTTTTAATTCCTTATCCCTTCACTAATATCACTGTGTGTTTTTATGTATCCATACTGTTATTCAGTAGGCAGCTGCTAATAGGTAAGGAAGAAATTAATATTTTATTATTCTGCATAAGCCACATGGTCAAGTGCTTCAAAAATAAGAGGTTACTTTCCTAAATTGGAGGGCAAAAACAAGACTAATATTCAACTTTGCCAAGTAGTTAGACACTCCCACACCAGCAAAAAAGATAACTTCAGTCAAAGCTTCGTTACCCTGAAGAAACTAAAATCATTTTTTAAAAATGAAAAAATATCTGGGTTTTCTTTGTCCCATTGAGAGCTGGTGAATTTGATTATTAGAAACTAAAGCTCTCACGGCAACGAGTTTAATTGAATGCAATATTACCTCACTACCTGGAATTCCTCAGTTACGAATTTTTCTCTTACCACATTGAATTAATGAAATGCCTCCAAATTCCAGCCACTATCTTTAAAAAAATATAGTAACTTTCCATTACCGTCTTTTATTTCGCTGTTGCTCAGCCATCTGTTCCATCAGCTCTCGCCTGTATTTCTCCTTTCTCCTTTGGAGAAGTTCTCGGTCCTGACCACCTAATGGGAATGACCACACATTCGTGTAAATGCTCCACAAAATACACAAAAGGTACTGAACAAAACCACTGACTTTCAGTCAATTTAAAACCTGAAACACAGCAGAGTATATGAACACTGGATCTTTACTGACTAAAAAAAATAGATAGTTTTAATAAACAGTTCGTTTGGAGTATGATGATCAAAACTACTAAAATTTTCATTATTATTTTCTCAGTTTGCCTGATTTTGTATAGTCAGGAAGCTACAAATTTCAAAGCTATGTGATAAAACAGCAACTAAAAAAAGTTAGTTGTTTTTTTTTCCCTCTAATGCACAACTAAGGAAGATACACTACAGCACTCCAAAACTATGATGCACTGCTCAGGATACAAAAGGAAAGTTAAAACTGAAGAGATTCAAGCCCACAGGGAGGAAAGCAAATTCCTCCACTTCTAGAACGATTGCCATGACTACTAAGAATTAGCAAAGAACTGGGAGATGTGTGTATGCAAAGGGAAACAGTGATAACACCCCAGACGGATTTTAAGGAACCCAAAAAACTTTCAACTTTTGGTAGTACCCTCAGAATAAGTGTGGAGGTGTTCTATTATTTTACAAACAAAACAATAAAAACCATCATCACTACTTTCTGTACAGTACAACTATCAGACACAGGAACTCCTAACATACTCCATACACAAAGTCACTGTGGATCTCTAGTAAAGTTGACCCAAACAATAAAGAGAAGAAAGTTGGAAAGAAATAAAATAAAAGCCAAATCAACAACAACAGCAAAACCTGATGCATGACTGACTGACTTTTTTATTCAACTATTGTGCTGGAACTGTAAAGTGACCAAAATGTGCAAGATAACCTCACAGTTTGTGATTTTGAGAGAGTCTGAAATCACTTCTCATTTTCAAAAATTTCAAGTTTTAATTTACTTAATCTTTATACAACACAGCTAACAATACTCTTCTAACCAGAACTGCCAGGAATACAAATTCACAACTCTGTATACTCGAGTTACCACAAATGAGATGACTGGACAGACCAGAGACTGACCACCACAATACCACTGTTTTAATGCTGCCTTTAAACAGTTCCAAAAAACTTTACCTGCTACATATAGCACTGAAGATCAGGTAAGTTCAAATGAAAGAATAAACAGAAATTATTCTGACAACTGTTAATCAATCCTTTCATAATTCAAACCTAGCTTGCCTTCAAAAGCTCCCATCTAAAGAACTACTACTGCAGTTCATTTATTCTTATCTTATAATTTTCTGAATTCAGCTAGGAATGCTATGCCTTTTACAGTATTTCTCTCAATTACTCTCCACACTAATGTTCCCTGCTAAATTTTTATGGCTATGTTTAAGCAGTAAGAGATGATCAGAATCATTTATTCTTGCCCAAGGTTGTGAAAATTACCATTTTCCATACTTCTGCAATTAAAATTCACTATAAAGTTGTGTCTTTAACAATACAGAGGTTAAGACTTCTCCTATGCTTCATTTTGTAAAAAAAAAAAAAAAAATTTAATTACATATCTAGACCTTAAGCTGTTAATGATATCTAAGAAGAAACTTGGGCTCTTCAAAATTAATCAGAAAGTCCGGTTGCATTAAGGGGAAAAACATGTTTTTCTTTATTTTTTCTATGTCAATAGTATTTATTTACCTGTCTTGGAGACAACTAGCACAAGGGGGAAAACAAAAGCTCATTTTTCTAGGTTTTAATTATTCACAGGGAAAAATAATATATGCAAGGAAAGTTGAACCCAGTGTCATTAGTTAGGTTCTTATACATACCAAGAACAAGGCCTGTTCTATACTGCATTTCAGCTGCAGACCTGGCCTCCTCATTAGCTGAAGGATGAATCTGTACCTGATTTCTGGCAGAGGCAAAAAAGAAAACCAAGCGATTAAACTCAAGAATTTCTTTCACAGTCTGTGTGAAACATGATAGATGCACTTAGGGCACTGTGTGATACATATATGAAAAACAGCTTTCCAACAATCCAAAGAAATAGCAGGAGCAAAAGCAAAAACTGCCTGGCAAGAAGACGCTTCTTACAGTTCCCATTTGCCTGTGGTTTCTCCAGCCATCAGCAACACTGACTCAGTTGAGCACTTCAACCATGTTGACAGACTGCATGGTGCCAGTCAAGTTTATGTAAGGGCTTTACAAGTGTTCTGCTTCTGCCTCACACACTTAAATCACTTCAGGACTTGCAAAACCAAGACAACAGGAAAAAAAGGAATTTTAAAACTACTATCAAAAAAGGATTCCCCATTATATGAATCAATAAAAGTCTTCAGTTGGAGAAATAGGTGATCTATTGATTCAAAAAGAAAACTGGCATGCAAGCTTCAATGGCTGTTCTCAGAGGAAACATGTTTTTCTTGTTATACTAGCTGCAGGAAAAACTATCAGCCATTTCAGATAACATACCATGGATTTTAAATTAACATTTTCCTTTCATCATGATTTTGTAGTGCAGTTATCAGAAGAATACACAGTATAACACATCTAGAATCTCCAGTTCTTGAGATCTGCTACATACATGCTCTCTCCTTTAATTCGTCTTCATAATCTACAGGTATGTCTCTTACTATTCCATTCAGACAGGGCCTTAAAGAAACTGAAAATATTCAGCTATGCTTGCCTAAAAACATCCAATCTGAAATGGAAGGTCCAGTAGTTTCATGTAAATGTATTTTCAGCCTGACTGCACACTGGACAGCAGAACCAGTTCTGAAAATATCACACAAAATTTCTAGAAGTAATTCACTTTGCTAGCACAGTGAAGTCAGCTCTTTGTCAGGAGTGTGAATTCCCAAGCCTGCTTTCATGCAACCTTTAACTGTTGAGCCTGGTTAAGAGTTTTGAGAGCTGAAGGGCTTTTGACATTCACACTGCATTAATTGTAACAGATCTTGCTGCTCTTAATCCCCAGGAGCTAACAAAGTCTACAATAGGTTTTGATGCACAGCTATTGGGCAAGTCTGGTGAAACAACCAATTCAGATATGAAAAGCTTCTTTAATGACAACCTACCCTTCACTATGCACCTGATAGAATTTAAAAGGGAGAGGTGACTTTTGATCAAGATAAAAGACAGGAAACATGGTGAATACAAAAATTCAGGAGCTAAAATTTGAGTTATCTACATATGAAGTGATATGATTGAAACTTCAAGTAACTTCAAAGATGCCAAATATTGTATGAACACAAGAGAGCTGTTCCTAAAATGATCTGGGGGAGTTGAATTTATAAGCTTTTCTTGTCTTGCAAAATAACAACTCTTTATTGTGGACTTCAAGTTATCTCAACAAAATAAGACAAGAATAGGTATTCAATGAAAAATAAAGTACCTAACAAATGCTAACAAAATCATATATTTTCCAGAGTTGGAAAGAACCACAGACTTCCTATTTAGCAAACAAAAAAAATCAAAAAAACCCATAGGTAAACATGCAAAAAGCCTCATCTCTTACGCAAAAAGAACCACAGGTCTTCCGTAATTGAAATAAAAGCCAATAATCAAAGGCAAAAGGAAGCAAGCAGATTATTAAACATTGATGTGGCATCATAACAACCCAAAAAAAAACGACATGAAAGAACAACATCCACCCTCTTTGCATAACATGATCTCCTTTCATGATCAAGATCATCTTTTTGATGATGATCAATCTGCTCCTTATGAGGCTGGTCATGTAAGACAAATGCAGCTAGGAAAGAGAAAGCCCAGTCCGTAGTGTAATGAAAGGATGCAGGGAGGAAGCAAAGAAACAAACCTTAGGATTCAAAAGGCAACCTTTTTTTGTAGAAAGCAGCAAGTTCAGCAAGGCAGGCCCAGACATATTGGCCCAAATCAATCAAGAAGCTGTTGTCTCCTGTTCATAGGATGCACCTGACAGCTGGCAATGGATTAAAGCATTCCACCCTTAAGAACCAAAATATTTTGCAATTCTTCTCACTTCCCTGGCACCATTTCTATTTGTTGAAATATGCCACGGTTCTTGTGCCTCCATCAAAACAGAAGCCTTTCTGAAAAGTCTTGTTATGAAAAGCTGCCCCTCAAAACTAATAAATCCCATTTAGGAACATAAGGACTTTAGCACAAAAAACAAAAATATGCCTCCTTATGAATTTAGTTTCTGTCATGAACCACATGTGTTCTGGAAAAGTTGACTTTGCCTGAAATAAAAAAAAAATACTAACTCTTCAGAAGCTGAGCTGTCAATAAGAGATGTATTTCTCCTTGAAAAGAGACTGAATGTAGTTCAGAGGAGGTTAAGCGGAGCTCCTTGCAAAGGAGAAAAAAGTACTAGATTAAAAAACACATTTAATAAAAAAATACTGAAAATTAATTTTTAATAAACATTCAGTAATAGAAAATACACCAACAAAATCCCAAAGAACTTCATGTACAAATTTAAGTTCAGGTCATTCAGGTGGTGGTCCAGCAACTGCTTTTAAGAAGACGCACCAAGTTTGCCAATAGCAAAGATAAGACTATCTTCTATATTTTCTTTTAAAAGAAAACTGGAACTAAAGCTGTTTCAGAGGCCTCTCTGAATAAGCATTGAATTGCCTAGTGATATATTGATCACAGATACATTATATAAGCACCATCCACATTTTCTGAAATAATTAATAACTAGTATACTTCTATTCAACATGATGTCTAGTGTTGGTTCAAACACTATGCTTGCTGATCGTTTATCTATATAATTCTGTATAAATTTTTTGAGAAACAAACCGTTATCAAATGGTTATTTTTATATTTTAAATATTAGACTGTGTCCAACTGCATTAGACAGTGGTAAACAGCTACCTAATAAAAAGAGGACGTTCATCCTTCTGGGTATAAATTAACACAGATTATTAAACTTGCTGTTAGTCTCAAAAATACTTTGGTTATCTTTGTTAGACATCAAGTTTAGTTTCTAATATTTTTTCTTTCTGAAAAGCTATAGGACAAGCTGACTCTACCCTAAAACCTTCAATTTTGTCTTCTCTGAATCTCATTCAGCAGAAAACAGGCGATCTTATTCCTCTTCTCTATTTAACCACTGTTTCCATTTGCTAGTCTTTTTCAGAAACACTATATGAATAAATACAGGCTTTTAGAAGCACATCAGAACACAGTCTGAAACTTTGAAATAACCCATTTATTTAGTCTGCCTCTTGAAAAAGCTTCCAGACATTTCATTTTATCCATAGATCTAATTCCTTTACTTTTTTTTTTTTTGATAAAGACTATCAAAACCTTTTGAGAAAAAATATTTTAACTCTAGTGGCATTAAAAACTGGAAAAGCAGCATGAGATCATTCAATTAAAAAAATGCTTTTAAAACAGATAAGCATTTTAAGGCTTCCCCCCCAGTTATTAATTTGCACTATTATCCAGAAAACTATCCCTGTAAACAACAACTCAAAAGATCATTTAACCAGTCCACCAGCAACTAACAGTGAAACATGACTGTAATATTTAACACGGTTGAAAGTAGTACAATTTGCCTTTGTTTTTTCTAGAAGTGTTAAATCTAAGGAAAAAAAAGTCTTTATTTTGCCTTACAAAGAAAGGACACTGGTGTTTCCTTCACTTAAAGCAACTGCAGGAAAATAATTCTGGCAACAGGAAAAAAAAAAGCTATAACACTCATGTTCCCAAGATCTGGAAAGTGAACAAATGAACACACTTAAAGCCCCTTTTAAAAATTTGTTTACAATAAACTTTACCGATTTATTTCATTTGAATTTAGCTATATGAAACACATCTGTTTCCAGGTTGGTACTGTTTTGCACCACAACTCGTGGTTTTAAAAGCAACCAGTTCTTGCAATGGAATAACCAAAGGTGTCCAGACTGCCAAACCTTGAATGATTGGGAAGGGTATACTTTTTTTTTTTTCTTTTAAGTGAGTAAGCTGGAGGAGAATGATTAACAATTTATGTCAAAGTAACAAAACTGCCATATCAATTAACACAGTAAAGACTATTTAATACTGAACAGTACATAATATCAGTTTTCCTCCTGAATGATTTATCTGAGACACCCTCTTTTGATCAGTTTGGGCTTTCTTAAATGTTTATTCAACCTGTGTAGTTATTACAGAGATTAGCACCTATTAAAACCATCAGGACTTGATTCAATTACGCAAAGGTTTAAAGCACGTCATTTATCAAGACATGGAGTAAAAAAGAAGATTTTTTAAAAACACATTTTTGCATCTTATACACACAGTGGCATGTACCAAAAATTGAAGCTCAAACCAGTTTTGGAATCTGAACTGAAAATTGACTTGCTACTACTATTACAGACTAAGAAAACAGAACACTGGGTTTCCAGTGCAGGTGTTTGCTCTCAAATAATAACATGCTTTCTGGGAAACCATTCCTCATAAAAATTAATTGTGGGCTGCTTCTTCTGGGGTAATTTCCCTAGTATCCTTGGTTTGCTATAATATATATAATGCTCCTTAATCTATGATGTATAGTCTTAGGTACTGGTCCAATTGTTCAACACTTTTCCCATAAATTATTGCAAAGTTCCTTTTCATAAGTAAGTACAGAAATCCTGCTTTCACATGGGAATCTTGTATAATTTTCAATGACAGCAAGCCACGGCTGTCAATGAGCACTACGGAAATAAAGGAGAAAGTGGAATTAAGAATACCTTTCAGCATGAAAAACCCGGGGAGTTCTTCTGTCATAGTTGCTTTCACATCTAAATCTAGGGTCCGTTTCTTCACTTATCTCAGGATCATAGTCCGCTCTGTAGTATCTTCTACCAAAATCACGATCTTCATCAAGTCTGTGATGCTTCCTAATAGGAATTACAGACTGGCTAGCAAATCCATGATGTCTTTCATTGGGAACATCCAAATCTGCATCGAGTCTTTTATTTAATAGTCGACTTCTTAATTCAACCTCATCATCTAACCTGTGGTACCTGTCTTCCTCCAGCCATCTCTTATTTTGCAGCTCTTCATAATCTTCTGTAGAAGTAAAGGCATCCTTCTTGGGAGGTTCTGCACCTGTATTAAAGGGCTGTACTTCTGTACGTAGATCTGGCTTGAGCCTGGTAACAGCAACAGCTTTTTTATTCCTGTCCATCTCATTCTGTTTAATGGAAAAAAATATTAAAAGATCTGAATAAAAACTAATAACATTGAGTAAAACCTTAGTTTTGTATTGCTTGAAACAATCCCTAAACAAGTACTGGAAGAAAGGTAAGAGGTGAGCAAGGAAAATACTTCCAGAAGTGCTTAAAAGCTAGTGTTTTATTTATTTTTCTTGAGATTAAAAAAGGTACTCTTCCTTGTATCTAATGTGTTTCAGAAGTGTAGCTATCAATCCTGGACAGGCCTTTTACCAACTCTAATTTGACTTTCAGTTTCAGAGGTGCAAATAATCAAAAAACCACTTGGAACTTTACACCTCACCAAGAGACTAGATATCTTTATTATATCCAGACTCAGACAAGTCTACTTCTTCCCTATCAATACAACCTTTTAACCTGACTATTTCTTAATCTATTTCTTTGCTCTCCAGGAGAAGTCTTTATGAGGAAGGATAGTTTAGTAAATAAAAACCAAACCTATGACACACTAGACCAGAGTTCAACACACAGTTCTAACAAACAACATGGGTTTGGATAAATCCTGTAGTATTTCTGTGCACTAATCTTTCATCTATGGAATAAAGATAACAGTAACTCATACTTTACAAAATATAACGAAAAATAAATTAAGGATGTAAATGACACCAAACTAGGAAGAAGGATCAGTGTACTAGAGGGTGCGACTGCCACTCAGAAGGGTCTTGACAAACTGGAGAAATATGCTGACGAAAACCTCATGAAGATCAACAAATGCAAAGGCAAAACTCTGCACTTGAGACAGAACAATGCCACACACAGCACAGGCTGGGCACCAACTGCCTAGAGAGCAGTTCTGCAGATAAAGGCCTGGGTTAGCAGTGAGCAACAAGCTGCACAGGAGTCAGCAGAGGACCCTCAGCAGTGATAACTGCTAACAACAACCTGGGCTGCATTACTTGTTGTCAGCAGGTCAGGGTAAGTGATCCTTCTCTGCTCAGTATTTATTTAGTATCCAGGTTCTGGCGTAGTGTGCCCAGTTTCTGCTCTCCCTCCCCCCCTCCAGATAATGATGAACTGGAGGATGGCTACTGAGATGGCATTTGAGCTCCTAAAGGAGAAGCTGACAAAGCTGGGTTTATTCAGCCTGGAAGAAGAAGGCTAAGGAGGGTTTGTATGGAGCAGGAGGAACTAGTAATTGTAGTCTCTACCTAAAGGATAGTTAGAGATGCCAGAATAATGGTTTTCAAAGAATCAACAGTCACAAGTTGCAGCAAAGGATATTCCAGTGGGATACAGAGGAATAGAAGTTCAGATCAAGAAGTTAAAGCAGTGGAACAGGTTGCCCAGAGGAACTGTGCATACTTCATCCTTTCAAAACTCAACTAGATAAGGCCTGACCAACCTGATCTAACTGTGAATTAACCCTACTCTGGGCAGAGGATTGTACTATATGACTTCCAGAGGTTCCTTGGAACTGAAGTTTATCCTAGGATTATCTAAACTGTTGGATCAAACTTTTGAGGTCACATATGTTATTTGACTCTCACTCCAAGTTAAATATCCCTCAGAGATGGCATAATCTCAACAAATAGTCACCAGGCTTTTTTCCTGTTTGTTCTTTTATGACAGCAAAATTGTTTCTACACAATAAAAATAAAACTTTAAAGTCCAACTGGATGACAAACAAAGCAAAAAGAAAAAACCTTGAGTCCCTAAATAGATTTCATTAGACAAGTCAGATAAGTAAACATAAATGCCCAAACATGCAGAAAAATTTTAGAAATTTACAGACTCAGTTACACAAACACAAGCAGCATTTCTGCCAGTTTCCTAGGGATCGCTGTTGTGCAGCACTCCAACCCTTCAAGAAGTCAGTTAAGAAACAGATATTGAATTTCAACATCTAAAGGATGCCTGAATACTGCCTTCTACATGTCTTCACAGACTAAAATACTTTTCAACTATATGACACTCCAATGTACTTGGAGGAAAAGATCTCTACATAAGACCTTTTACATAAGAAAACAATTCTTCTAGAAACAAGAAACATTCTTCTGGAGAGAAATTAAAAATACATGGTTATTTGCACTTAATAATAATAAACTTTCAGATGTTTTGAGTACAAATACAAGGCACTTCGTGGAACGACCTAGCTCTCACGCTAGTGTACACTTCAGAATTTCTGTATTAAAAAGAAGTGGAAGGCCTTCTTAAATCAAACCTACATTAAGGAGTTCCAAATTATTAAACTGAGGCAAAAATATTTTAAAAATAAAACTTACCCTTTCCAGAAAAGATTTTATTATTAGAAAGCAGATTTCTCAGATCAATATATTGCTCCCAGACTACTAAAGCAAAGAGTCTCACAACAATGTTAATTAGATCTAAAAATCCCATTGGCTGTTGCATTGGTTTGGGATAAATTTCTTCACAGTAGCTTGTATGAGGCTATGCTTCCGATTTGTGATGAAAACAGAGGGATAATTTAGTTCCTACTGAATAGCACTAACACAGTGCCAAAGACTTTCTGGTTCTGATGGTGTCCCACCAGCAAGGTGGCTGTGGGTACAAGGAAGGTGACCCCAAGTGACCACAGGGATATTCCACACTATAGGATGTCATGCTCAACATATAAAAATGGGGAAAGGAGAAGGGCAGGGGGACATTCAGAGTGATGGCATTTGACTTCCCAAATCACTGTTACACATGAAGGAGCCCTGCTTTCCTGGGGATGGCTGAACACCTGCCTGCCCATGGGAAATAGGGAATGAACTCCTGATTTTGCTTTGCTTGTGCGTGTGCACCTTTTGCTTTACCTCTTAAACTGTCTTTAACTCAACATACAAGTTTTCTCACTTTTACCCTTCTGATTCTTTCCCTCATCCAGTGGAGTTGAGTGTGCATGTGTTCCTATCTGCTTACTGCCATACAAATCAAAGGCCTCAGATCAGAACATGATTTCAATTCTGCATGTGTCTAGCTCACTTTCAGTAGTGAATTTTTTTAATTTTTGTTTTTTATTCACAAATGCACAGCCTCATATTCTGGACAGTTGCCTACACTTGCCTTGCTTTCTCATGAACTGGACACAGACTAAGGAAAAGAGCATCTGCAAATAAAAGCTATATAAGGTTCAATATTTTATTCAAAGAGACAGCTTTTTTGGCTACCACTTTTATCACCAAAAACAACCCAGGGATTTGCTTTAGACACATAGAAGAATGAAAGCACCCATCTATGACACAGATATGATGGAAGCAGGAATCAAGAACTGTACTGTATGAGTTGTAACCAGGACCTCCTAGACACATCAATAAAACTGGCCTCATTGAACAACATAATTTGCTTGTTTTGTCTTACTTTCTATGTCTTAGTCATTGGTAAGACTGTAAAACTGTATTACCTCTCTGTTTTTCTTCCCTAATTTCCTTAGCCTTTCATTCCATTCTTCTTTATCCCTGAGATATTGATTGTACTCCTTGTTTCTTTCAAGTCGTAATTTCTCCTAAAATAGGCATTGAAAAGGGCATCATAATTTAGCATTTTCAGTAGCTTTTAACTTCATAGAACCTTAGTATTAAGTGAATACATGCAAACTGTGTGTTTGCCCCCCCCAGTCTTTGTGATGTACAAATAAGGCTTGAATTGCTTTGAGGTTTTTATTCATTTTTGAACATAGTACTTTCCCCTAATCTGAAATCTGTAAGCAGAAGTCGGCTCCTTGGCCATGAAGTCTAGTCCCCAGTGGTGCTACTGTAGATCAACTGTAGCCTAACCTGTAGTTAGGCTTCCTCCTGCTAAACCTATTCCAAAATTTTTCAAAGACTCACTCCCTTGACAATTAGAAACCACTTTCTAATTTCCAATCTGAATGTATTTACAGATGATTTTTACACATACGATTTTTATTGTGTGTTAAGATTAGTTGTGACTTGTCCTGTTCATAATTAAAACAGGACAACAAATACATGTATAGAAAAGATGCGTCAATTATAGCTTAGAGTACAACATGAACTGTGAAATTCAAACAAGCAGTTAAATTTGACTTGAACTTGACAGTAAAAGAGTCAAAAGTGCAAAAAATGCAAGAAAAAACAGGGAAAAAAATGATCTATCCACATTGCCCTAGCTGCTTTTTCAAGGTGACAATATTTATAACCAGCTTGCTCAGGTCCAAAAATACACATGAGCTGCACATCCATAGCCTAATAATATATGAAATACAAGTCTCTGGATAAAGCAAACTCTAACTTACATTACTTCTTGATATTACTACCTTGTGCTTAGAGCATGGGGCATCTCTTATACTACCTCGTTCCAACCATCACATAAATTAAAAAAAGATAATTATATTACAACAGTACAAATCATGCTCTTTTCCACTGCAGCATTTAAAAAAAAAAAAAAAAAAAGAAAAGAAAAGGTATTAAAAAAATCCGAACATTACATATAAATTTACTTTCTCATGAACAAATTTCCAACAAAAAAAATTTATACCTCAATCACCATGGAAATACCAGACTCGTAATAGATTTGCAAATCATACTAATAGTCGCCAAAATTGTTTGGTTTGATTTTTGGTTTTTTTCCCCAAAATCTGTGTCTAGGTTTTATAACAGTGACAATATAAAACATGCAGACAGCCATGAAAGCTGCCTGAGAGGCATTTTCCAAAGCTGAGAAGCAAGCCTTGTCTTTAACAGGTGGCAAAACACTCAGCAGAAAATTCAATATGCTGTGTGACTGTACTGAAGGAAATCAAAATGCAAATGTCAACCTCTCATCCCTATCTGCCCAGAAACCAACTGTTTAGCAGGGCACAGTGTGACATCTTCTGGCAGCTTCTAGGTTCTGCAACAGCAATAAATGGGTAAAAAGCATAAAAAGGATATAACACAACTGTACAAACAGACAATCTCAATAAATGTTGACCTGCTATGATATAAAACCATCAATGATCAAACATGTTCCCAGTTCAAATACATCTTCAGTTTCCACAGAATTAATCAAAGATACTTTATTTTGCACTGTTTCAGCACACATGCTTGCAAGGGTTAACACACAGCTCATGAGAACCTGAAGATAACACAAATTCAGTACAAGTGCATGCAGCCACTGAGGAGGAGTCCTTTCCCCTTTCTGGACATTTCATTCTTGCTGCCTCCTTTTTCCATTCATGTAACTTGGAGTTTGGGGCTTTTTCACAAGAGCAATTTTACTTATTTGAGTTCTCACCTGGCTCCTCATATGGCCAAACCACCACAAGAGAGGCAGAAAGTATAAGTAAGCACAGCAAGGGCAAGACCAACACATGACAAAACAGAAGCCTTGCACCAGGTTACAACGACAGTTAGTCCCAAACACAGATCAACAGTGCAACCTCAAGCCAACATAGGTTAAAAAACACCCAAAAGAAATAAAACTCCCAGAAGTGCAAATGTCTGGTCCTCCTACAGCAACACAGTTTGTCTTTCTTCCTTGTATGTCCACTGTGGTTTGACTAATCCTAACAACCAAACAGTTGCACTTGTAGAATCAGCAAAACTTTTGATAAATTACAGTGTTTCTGCTGACTCAACTTCCTGGTACAATTTACAAGCAAATATAAGAAAGGAACTGGGATTATAAGACCAACAATGTGAGGGCATGAGGGGAGATGACTCCTGTAAGACTGATTTTGGCTTTCACAGAATTATACCATACATCAGAGGAATGGACCAGAGGTAAAGAAAATTCACATAAGCATGTTGCATTTTCATAATTGAACCTCCATGAAGCTCCAACAGCAGGGAGACTTTCATGGCTGGTATACTACTCCAACAAATGAAAGCAAGATCATAAACTGCTAAGAAACCTCCGGGAGATCAAAGGGGCTAAACCCAGAAAGAGTATGTGTACTCCATTCATAAAACAAATTAGCATCTGTACTCTCAATGAAAGATTTGAAATTGGGAAGATTCCTATATTAACAGCAGGTAATATGTGAAATATTAAATCAGTTTTTATTTAGATTTCCAGATTCAACTGTTAAAAAAAAAAGAAGCGTGTGAGGGTAAGTGGGTAGGTTAAGCGTAAGCAAAAGACATCAAAGCAAATTGTGCACAGCAGAAAGCACACTTCCTTCAGTGCTGTTAGGAACTGGTAAAAATATCACTGTAGAAACACCTACGAGCAAATATTTTTAAAACAATCCCCAGGCTGCAGTAAGAAGAGCAATAAAGTAGAAAAGCACATACAATTATAACAAAACCAATGTTCTATATCAGATCAATATTTATTGCTGAACAAAACCCAAGCACAACCACTAGTTGTGGATCAGAAGTAGCAAACCTCAAACTACTATCAGTATGGAATTATACATCAAATTATGAAAAATTGAGTACAAGTAACCTAGGATTAAATTTTTTTAAAAGAAAACAAAAACAAAATAAAAACAAACAAAACAAACAAAATGTAAAGACTTGACTTTTAGGAAAATCATTCTAATGACCACCTCCAAAAATGTTCTATTGTGTAAAAAAATCAAACCGAACAAACAACCAAACAAAAAAACCTTCAATAGAAATATTTTTTCCATGACAGTTTAAACATTCAGGTTCATTTTCAAGTTACAGTTCACTTACTTAATTTCCTCCATATATTTACCTTGGCAGATCTTCGCTCATCAATAGGAAGAGATAATCCCTGAGTATATGGATCTACTTCACCAGTAGTCAGATAATTTTTCTACATTAAAAAAAATTTAAAACCATTCAATATATTTTAAAATACCAATTCTTACTCAAGTAAATAGTTTTTAGGAATTATATTTTTTGAAATTAATTTGAGCAATTTAGTGAAAAAAAACACTGAAGACAACCTTAATGTTTTAAAAATGTAGAATGTTCTTGGAACGCATGAATGAAGTCAAGGAATGCAGAAAGTAAATGTCTCTGTCAAGTTTTAAGTTTGAGTTTGAAAGTGTTTGTCACTTCTTCCCTGTTACACTGTTGAAGTCTCTGTGTACTAAAAAAATAATTTTTATTCAAAGAAACCCCACTCAGTTCTTCTGTAGCATAAGTACAAGTATCTGTACAAGCATAAGAGGAATTTTCCAAGATGATATCTGAAGATGAAAAACTGCTTTTTCTAACTGCAGAAAACATGTCTACCTCTTACTTCAACAGATGGAATCTATGCTAACAGTAGCATAGTCACATCTGTTTATCTCAACAGTGTTTTCTATACCAGCATTCCTCAAACTTTTCAGGATAATGACCCATTACTAAATCCTGTAATTCCTTACGGACCATCAGTCACTTTCAGAACAGAAATTCCCATCAAAACCACGATGTTGTTGCTCCATATAGATCTCTGGGTCACAGTTTGGGAACTGGGCTGTGCAGCAAGTCAAAGTAGTTGCCTTCCAAACCCAACACCAATGCTGGGGCAGGTCCTTGGCTTCCAGGTCTAGTGGTTTTGTCACACATCACTCCTTTACTAAAAGCATCCCCAGGCCCTTCTCAGTCAACCATCTGTGTTTTATAAATCTGATTATCTTTAACAAAAGGATCATCTCCTTGTGTGGCATGGGCTGCAGAAGGGAATGGGTGAGATATGGTATTCACTAGCACTGTTTCCTTCCATTATCTATGTTGCAGGGTAACTTAAAAGCTTGGAGGCACTCGAGAGCTCTGTCTGTTCCAGTACAAAACCACATCATTATGACTTATATTTTACAACTACACATTAGAAGATTTAAGGGGTTTGCAAACGTTCAAGCATCAAGACAACTAGTTTAATATGGAAAATCAACTTATTCCTACTAGAAAAAGTAAATACACTGTAATCCTCATTATTAAGTAATTATTTTCACGCATTCTGAAGACATCTATGGAGATCATCCCTGATGTTAAAACCATATTTGCCAAAAATCAGAAGTTGATATGGAAACTGCATTTTTCTAGATAAGCAAGATTAAACAAGTTATTAATTAAAAAAAATTATCACTGCGAGAGCTGCTAAAAGTTACACTATCTCTTCAGGTGGGCAAAAGAAATTAGAGATTGGAAAAGAAATCAAAGATTGTTATCCTATCTCTTGCTCAGGCTTTACAAGCTTAATATAGCTAACATGTACTGCATTAAAAAAAAAAAAAAACAAACACAAAAAACCAAACCAAAACAAAACAGAAAACACCACCTTGTAAACCTAAATTTGTAAAACTGAAGTTCAGTTGAGAATAAAACACTAGAAGTTAATGTAAAAATTATATTATTTGGGTACTTTGGTGATAATTATGAAACATTAATTTTTAACACAATATTCTAATTTTGAAAATAATCTGGAGTTTTAAGATTAAACAAGAAGCAACAATCACATAAGCATCATTTGGGTCAGAGGTTAAGAAGGCAGTTTATTCTGCTGTTGCTATTGTTTTTCACAAATGCTACTTATTCTGTTATTCAAAACCCCAGAGAAACCAGCAGGTTGTGTTTCTACCATGTTACTGAAGTTGCTTGATCTGAACAACCTGAATGGACTGTGTTAAATTTTAAAATTATAGATACATGACAGTACAATGATATAAATAATTAAAAATCAACTGGCCAAAGCTTGCAAAAATAACACCAGAGGTTTTATTTTTCCTTGCAATACTTGTATTCTTGCATTCTGGCCACCAGGTGTTGAATAACTGACTCTACTGCTTCCCTAAGCACAACTGATGAGAGTGATTGGAAGAAAAAATCCCTGACTGGTTTCAATGACACACTATAATATTTCACAGGTTACTATTTTATACCAGCCTTATAAAGTATGTATATCATGGAGAAAAAAAAGGATCTGAACTCTCAATATCTATGTAACTGATAAGCCTGGAAGCAAATGTCTACTAAAATAAAAACTATTGTACAGTCAGCATTAGACAGTAACAATAGCAACTGCAAAGGGAAATGTTTAAACAATATTTTAAACAAATGTTTAAAATATTACTAATGGAAAATAATAAATATAATTAATAACTTTGCACAAAGCAAACAATGCTGTTAGTCACAACTAATCACTACAGCATGCACAAACACACAAAGCACAAAAAAATAAAAATGATTTCTTAAATTCCAAGAGCACAAAGCCTTCAAACAAAGCAAAAAGCAACTAATTGGAAAGAAAAAAAAATTATATTGCAGACACCCTACCTTTCTTTTTGCCTGTGATATACCCTAAAAGTCAGGGAGAAGATACTATTCAAAAAGAGTCTTTCATTCAAAAATAGATGACTTAACAAAAATTCTTTCCTTTCTTAAAGTAAATTCATTTTTTCATTTTAAGAACTAAAGACACTGATAAATAGCATTTTCATATAACAGAAATTATTTGGTTCCTTATTTTTTCTGTCTCACGAAGAGGAGATACACAATATTCCCAAGATGATGACATTTCATACATATCATTTCAATTTTAAATTGACTATGACATTTAGTAATTCATGTTAAGCAGAACATCAAAGCTTTTTTCTTCCTAAAACTGAAAAGAAGCTGTCAAATGGACTCACACTAATTATAGAAATATTCTTACCCCAATTACAGACCACAAAATACGTTCAGTACTTAAGGAAGTAACAGATTTTAAATTCTTAAGCAAAAAACTAAGGAAGAAGTAAAGACAAATAAATAAAGTATTCAGAATAAAGTGTACTAAGTAATACATAGTCTCATGGCAATGAGATCTGTAGAAGCCTAAAATGTATAACCCTTCCTAGAGGTAACATTTTGAAATTACCTTTATCCAAGTCTTTGAAATGAGTCATTATAATGAGCTTATAATGAATGCCTTCTTATAAAAATTTTTTGCAGATATCATTAATTTTCATTCAAATAAATGAAAGAATCGTTTTAAGAGACTCACTAAAGTATAGCAACCAGTCAAGCAGCCCTACCTGAGAAAGATATCGCCTATAATCTTCTCGGAGTTCCTCTTTGAGTTTATGTTTTTTTCGTTCATATTCCTCTCCAAGAGGTAAACTCATGCCATAGTCACCTGAAAGTTTAACACCATGAAATATCATATTTACTATTTTGCATCAATGCAAAGCACATCCTGCAAAAGCTACATCTGGATTTTGACACAAGCAATAAAAAAAATTAATTATGCAACCAGTAATTACAAAACAGCCAAAAAACCAGTAGTATGTATGAGTAGATGGATGGAAAGCACAAAAAAAATAGATTGGTATTTGGATATTAGTTTTTCTCTAGTCCTTGTGCTTTTTCTCTCCACTAGAAAAAAAAAGAAAAAAAGCAACATAAATTGAATTCATTTGAAGAGTTTACAAACAGTATAATATAACCTAAAGATTATACATTTTTCTTTTGTGAATGTATGTTTCAGAATAAATTTCCTTTGACATGTTAGTTCCTAAATTAATCTGATATTTTATGCTGTGCTTGTCACACAAGAGAAAACATAATTCGCAACTGAAAGCAACAAGCTATTTGTTTAGCACAAAGCACTTGAAGAATATGTTGGCTTCTATACAACTAGAATCTGACCACACGATAATTATAATCATTCTTCTTTCCACCACAGTGTTTTTAATTGTAGCAGACCCAAAACACATTAGTACTTTTCTGAGATTACTATCTGGTCTCATAACAGCTGCTAAATTAAAAAAATAATGCTATGCAAGCTGTTTGCTGTTCCCAAAATACATCTTAACGTACTTTGCAAGAAACACTCCCTGCCCCAGAAGGCCATCTCTGCAACCACTTTCACCACTCTCCACAAAGAGCTAGTGAATTCCACAAACACATCCAACAAAAGACAAAAATTACAACTATTGGGTGGGGGCTTTTTTTATTAAGCATTTTTACTAAGCATTTCTACATCTTGTGATCTATGTAAAAGTAATAGTGAGGAGTAAGAGAGAAGAGAGGGATATTCAAGATTTACTCTTACATCAGTCCCAATTTATTGCATGAGTTTGTTTGGCTGGGATTGAGATACATTCTGACAGAGCTGAAACTGTCCTCCTAAGCCAGTGAAACAGTGTAACAGGGAAGAAGTGACAAACAGGAGTCAGCCTGCTGTTCTGCAGAACCAAAGGACCTGATTAAATATGTCATATGCTACTCTGAAACAGCTTGCAGAGTTCAACTACTAACCAAAATCTGCACAGGAGCTTCTTCTCCAACCTCCAAGTTACTTTTCTCCCAATTCCACACATAAGGTAAGTGTGAGTTCTGTTTAAAAAAGTAATGTACCATTTCAACAGTAAAGGGATAAGTGCAAAGAATACAGAAGAGGAAATGGTTTGTTTCAGCTAGTTGCTCTTGCCTTTTATTTTCACAAGTATTATTTTTGAATTAGTTATAGAAAACCAAGAAGAAGACCAAAAGCAACTAACAGGTCAGACCAAGATTCATTCAGGAATTTCACAGATACCAGTAAAAAAAAAAAGAAAAGAAGTGACAATTAAGGAATCAAGTGCTTTGATTCAAATATGTGAAGTATTCAAACAAAAAAGTGCTTAATTTTTTTAACAGAAGATCCTTTTTGGCCACCAGAAAAGCACTGAGATAACAATCATGGGTAGTGATCTGCAGGATATCTGAAAACTACTCACTTCAAAAACTTATTCTAGGAGAGCCTAGCAGAGCAAAACTACTGCAGCTCACATACATTCACCCTAATTTTGTGTGCAACTTGTCTGAATTCTTCCATCAGAATAAGAGATTTACTTTCTTTTTCAATGGTTTTCTGCTTTTGTTTTTTGTGTAATTGCTGTAGTTATCTGCCATTTCATATTCCATTAATCACATATAAGGACACTGACAATTTTTTAAAAAAGCTAAGATTTTAAATGCATTTTTATATAAACGTTTGCATGCAATTAATGATCAGAAATAACTGTCACTTCATTCAGTCTGAATCTCAACATTATTGCTAGAACTGTAGAGTGCACTTAGTAGCTACCAAAGAACAAGTCCCTGTCTGATTTAATCCACAGGAAATTACATTGCTTTAAAGCAGTCAGCCAATAATACCAACAACCATCCACTTCAGCATCCAAATTATTATTATAGAAAGAGCTGATTTGGGCTAAGACAGAGGTAATTTTCTTCAGAGTAGATGGTGTGGCACTGTGTTTTGGGCTTGTGCTGGAAACTGTTAGTAACACAAGGATGTTTTTGGTATTGCTGAACAGTGGTCACACAGCATCGAGGCTTTATCTGCTTCTCACTCCACCCATCAGCAAGCAGGCTGGGGGTACACAAAGAGCTGGGAGAGGACACAGCTGGGGCAGTTGACTCCAGCTGACCACAGGGATATGCCAAACCATATGGCATCATGCTCATAAATAACACTAGGGGGGAGGTTGGGGGGTTCTGCTGCTCGAGTGTGGCAGGAGGGCCTGCCCCAGGAAGGCCTAGAATCTGGTCAGAGAATGCAAGCAACGCAAGCTCTCTGTAGTGAGTTACTGGAGGCACCGTGGTAATGCTTTTGGTGTTGAATTATGCTAAAACCAGCCTGGTTCACTGAACTCCAAACATACATCCTGCTTTTTGAGGTTGGATGTGACAGATAAGCTGGGAGCTCGCCTGTAAATTTCTGACTAGCGGTCCATCACTTTATACTATAAAAGTCCAGTCCCCTTTCATACAGTCAGGTTCTTCTAACATAACCCTTCCTGGGGTGTGTGTGTGGAGCTTCCTCCCTTTCACTGGGGACACCCCCAAGGCTGATAGAAAGAGATCTCCCCCCAAGCACTGGTATGGGTAAGTTATATCAAATCTCTACTTAATAATTATTTCTTTTTTTGCTAGCTTTAATATAATTGCTTCAATAATTGCCTCAATATAGTGCACTGTGCTATCTTACCAGATTCTAGGCCTTATTGGGGTAGGCCCTCCTGCTACTTACTAACACTACTAGTACTTTTAGGATTTATATTGTGTAA